GTTGTGCGTGAGTGTGTGTGCATTGGATATTTGTACATTTTTACAAACTTATAGCAACTTCAAAAGCAACCGCTACAGGCCAACACAAACAAAGCTCAAGAGAACCCAACTTGTATCAGGAATTTTAACAAAGATTTTATATAATAAAAGTTAGGAAAACTCAGTGTTAAATATAATATATGTGTGTGTGTGTGTTCCCCAATAAGCACATCTCAATGTACCCCAAAAACTCGATTCGGAATCCAAGTTACAATCCGAATCCGAAAATCTGCAACCAAATGAATTTATGCACGAGAATCGCAAGCATTGAAAACCAAATATCTCCCCATATGATGTATCTCTATAATAAACCTGTACATACATTTATGTGTACATGCATATAAACGACGGGTCTCCCCCCACCACCCCCTTTACACAGAAGGAAGCAACTGACACATGACAGAAATGACAAAAATGAAAATGAATTTTTTTGAACCGAAATAAAGAATGTAAACTACAGTTGAATAGTTTTACTGGGCGAAGTGGAGGAAATTGTAGTTATTACGAAAACCTGTTTTAATTCTAACATATTTGCCAATAAATGTCCTTTAACAGAAAGTGAAGTTATATTTCAAAAAGCATTTCTCTGATTTATGCTGATTTTTATGGAGTACACTGGCAGATATTTGTATGACTTGCAAAATTCTAAAACACACAAAATACAAGCAATAGTTTCGAATTAATACTACTCTTTATTTTAGTTATATGAATAAATAAATAAAATATGTATGTTATATTAATTTGTTAAATAATTTTGTAAGAGTCTACCATTAAGTACTTAAAACGGACATCAATTTGACAATTAAATTTTTAAGAAATCCCATTTTTTTAGAGTGTAGATTCACATACTCCAAACGCAGCAGGTACAGGGTCGATTACAGGGGATGGCAAAGGAAAGGAAAGGAAAGGAAAGAAAATGAAAAGGCTGGGGCGGAATCACGCAGACCGTGTCCAACTAAAAGGCGCCGTGCATCATTTGGAATGACGCCATTGCCGTCGGAAAATGAAATCAACAGGTAATGGCGGCGACTCGACGACCGAGAGTTTCCTGCGCTCGGAAAAACAACGGAGAACGAGAATTGATAAACGAAGGCCGAAGGCGCTTGCACTAGCTGCAGTTGATAGAGCCGAAATCAGGTGGGCTGCTCAGGAACAACGTTCATGCGTGGCCAATACTCGAAGTCGGCTGCTCAAGAATATCTAAACAAATGGTAAGAATTAACAGGTAATTTTAAAGGAAATAATATAGAAAAAAGGTATGGTATAAACTTAACTGTTTGTCTACATTTTAATTATAATTTTGAAAATAACGCCCTAAGGTATGCAACATTTCCTTGCAATGCCAATTATAAATAGTAATTTCCTGGTTTCTGAAAATTGGGAACCTTATTTATTTGTTAAGTTATAAGTTGATTTACTCTATTTACTTAACGAAATTCACAAGTTCTGTAAAATTTTTTTCTACGATTAAATTAGGTCATCAATGATTGATCGTCAATTATGCCATGGCATAAACTACATTTAATTACACTGAAAATACTAGCTCAAGGACACCCGAGAGAATAGTTTCTCTTTTCCCCATTCTAAGTCTGTCATATGTCCGTAATTTATTGTTGCACGCCAAGCTATTGAGTGCCGTGTGGGAAGAATACGGAGCACAGAAGATTTCGGGACTTCGTTGCAGCTCAGCAACGCCCCTCTACACCTAGAGAAAAACGGTATAGTATATTAAATATGATTTGTGTTTAAGTATTACATTACATTACACTCCCTATAAGAATGTTAGGATTTTGAAAGGTAATTCAAAGTAAATAAAAAATATGTACTATTTTAACTTAAGTAATAATATTTTTTTAAATAATAACACATTTTTTCTCTCAGTGCACACTTAATCCAGTGTAAAATCAAGAATAATAATGGCATTTCAGGTAAGGCCGGTGGTAACACAGCCCGAAAATCGATTCATGTTCCTGTCCGCCGTTCAGTGTCCGTTTTCCATTGTCCAAATGATTCTTGAGTTTCAGTTTGAGTTTGAGTTTGTGTGTGGGTGTGTGCCAGCCTTTTGATTGAACAATCCGATTTGGTTGCATTCGCTGCACTCCCGCTGGAAAATGGAATGGAAAATCAGGGAGGCAGAGGAAAGTGGAAAGTCACAAGGCAATCCGAATTGAGGCGGGTCAGGAATGAGATGAGCCCAGATGTGCAGACGAGTGAAAGTCGAAAAATCTTTATCGGTTGGTCCATCGATCGAGACATAAAATTGAATTTTAATATCAGAAAATTACTAACAAAAAAATGTTGAAATATTTGTGTTTTCATTTAATCACAAACCATCCAGATTACTAGTTTTACAACGCTTTTTCCATCCCCTATATTCGTTTTTAGGGTTTTGCCTGGGGGAAATATTTAAAAACATTTAAAGCGCTTTTCGCTGTTAGCTGCGATTAAGAGCAGCTTAGACTTGAACTAAGCACACTCGCATTCCAAGGCAAACACCGCTGATGGTTGTGCAAATAACGGATGTGAATTTTTCGATTTTGTCGAGAAAATGCCGGGGTATATTGGGCAGATATTTTTTTTAAAATGTTAGAAAATAAAAATGTACACAAGTTATAATTTGAAAAAAAAATGCAAATAAAAAAAAATAAAATAAATAAATTACATAAATATAAATATGTCTTTTAAAAAGGCAACAACAATTTCTTGTTTATTTTTACTATTATTTGATGTTTGATTAATTTTTTGGAATATCAATGAAAATAAAAACGTAAGCTATTCAAGAATATATTTTAAAGTAGGTACATATTAATTCAAATTTCAAAGTGCCGCGTAAGTCTTTCAAATGGATCTGAGTTTTCGGGTTAAGTAAACGCGGCAAAGTTGAATCTATCTGCTGGAAGCACGGCAGCCGAGACCTTGAAGGCTGAAACCCCGCAGGACCCATCCACCCATTCCACCCACTCTGCCCACCGCCCACCGAGGACCCCTTGGTCAAAGCCTGATGCTTCCGCTTTGAATAAAACGCATTTTTCAAAAGTGCCAATGTGTGTGTGCATGAATAATGTAAATATATATACATATATGTATATATGTTTGTACATAAACAAGGACAAGGACCACATGCGCACGTAAGTAAGTGTGTGTGCTTATGTGCTGTCACTGTGGGCGTTTTTTGGGCAGCTGGGCCAACTGGGCTGGCAATAAGCCCCACCAAAAAGCCCACCCCCACTCCACCCCCAACTTCTGACTGAGCCAATATTGAAACTTTCCACTATACAACGCCACATACACACACACATGCACACAATTCAAATTTACCATGTGTGTGTTGGAGCAGGATTTATGCACCGAGAAAAAATGTACTAAGCATTTGAAAAAGAGAACGTAAATAATAATTACAATTTAAAAGTAGATCTAAAACTCAGCTAACCAACTTTCAAACAAAAATTTAAATTATAGATAGAGATATTATTTCATAGTTATTTGAAAATGCAGAACCTTGCTATTATAATTGTTTAGGATCTTTGATATTTTTTATTTCTTTTTATTACACATTTCTTCACTTTCTAAACTTTACAGTGTAATGTTTTAGTTTCGTATCTTTACATTTAAATTCACTTTCGCAAATTCAATATTTGTAATCATCTATATTATATAACTCTAGGTACACAGTTCATTAGATCTAAATACATCTTAGCCATTGCAAAGCATTAATACTTGTACTAGACCTTGGAAACTCCTTGATTTCCGGGCTTATCCTAATTTTAGTCCAGCGCAAGCCTTAAATTCCATTTCCCCGCCCCTTTTGGATATTTAATTTCGCTTAAATATACATACACATGGGCACACATGCACACACGTGCGTTACATTTCAAATAGCGCATAAATTTTGAAAAGTCCATGCAAAATCAAAACGAATTTTCCTTGCCGGACAGCATCCCTCTGTTTTCGAAGGGTGGGGAATTGGGGTGGGTGCTCCACTGCGGAGCCACATGTGCGTGGCCCCCCTCCTGAATCTCCCCCCTCTCAGAATTACGCATACTTTCAGCTCTAGGCATTGTTGTTGTTGATTGGGCGGTGCGGTGGGTGGACAATGGGCTGAGCTGAGCCCCAAAATGTGCAGAAAGCATAAGCTTTTTTATCGCTTCGAAAATGAGGCAGGCAAAAAAAAAAAAAGGTGAATGTAGTTGAAGTCACAAAGTCTTTAAAAGTTACATGGGCTTCGTAATTCAATATACCTTTATTTAGAGGATAGTTAGTCCTGAATCTATAGAAAACGAATAGGGCCGGATTAATATTCCATATATTTCATTAAAATGACTGTTTAAAAAAACTCAAATTTTTATTAAAAGCCCTGATCTTAATTTTTGACTGTAACAATGGAAATATTTATACAAATATGGATTGTCATACCTTTCTGAACTCGTTATTAAATTTCCTATCGATTGGCATTTAAACCTTGACATTTTGTTTATTTTTAATTTTTTGCAAAAAAATCATGGGGACCCCCTTATAAAAAAATTAAAAATGGTCGAAAATTTTATTTTTCCAAAATCACACGGAAAGTGTTCTGGATTTATTGCAAATTTTGTTATCTGTTCAAAACAGTATGTATATTTTGTGTATGACCATTTTTGGCCAAGTTACAGATAAAAAAACCCAAAGAAAAAATTCAAATTTTTGTCAAAAACTGAAATTCCGAATTTACAAAAAAAAACAGAACGGTTTTTTTCGCTAAAACAAAGCAATTACTAATTTAAGGTATGAATTGTCATATCTTTCTGAACTCGTTATTAAATGTCCAATCGATTTAAGCCTGGCCTTTAAATAGATCAAGTTATTAACGGAAAAGTATTTAAAACACCGTTTCAGAACAATATGGTATTTTGCAGCACTGGAGCACAAATTGCTTAATCGAATGGTTAATCGAATGTCATCGATCTGGCTAGCGGCAAACTATCGACAATTTTCGAAATTAATTTCTGTTTGACGCTACATACTTTTTGCAAGCCAATCGCAAACTCGAGAACCAAGATCGGATTGGAAGGGCACCGGATGGCTACGCTACGGAACCACACCTCCTCGACCGGGGGCAGCCAGGACTCGCCGCAGGACGCGGGCGCCACGCTGGCCATCGGCTATGTTCGGGAATTCAGGGCCCGGGCGGCCGCCTTCCAGACGCAGCGCTCCGAGGAGTCGCTGGTCTACGTGCAGCGCAGCGTGGCCCTGCTGGGCACCAAGGTGCAGCCGGCGCATTTCGCTCCGGCGCCTGGCAACCTGGAGCTGGCCCGCTTCTACGTCGATCTGCACGCTCTGATGGGCGCCCTGGAGAACGAGGCGGCCGAGGGCGATGTGCTGTGGGCCTGCGTCGGCCTGGTGCAGCACTGCAGCCGGAATCTGGAGGCCCGCCAGGCGATCGTCGAGCGCTTCTGCTTCGTGCCGCTGCTGGGCCTGCTAATCCGGCGGACGCGGCGGGCGGAGCGGGTCTACAGGCTGCTGGTGCTCCTCCAGGACCTCACCTACGGCATACACATCGCCTGGGAGGAGCCCTACCTGGCGGCGCTGATCGAGCATCTGGTGGAGATCGTCCTGGGCACGGAAAGCGGCTCTAATGGATCGAATAATGGAGGAAATGGCGCCTCCTCCGATGACGACGACTCGCATGCTCTGCTCGCCCTGTCCGTGCTGGTGAATCTCTGCTACAAGAACTTCGCCGTGCTGTTCCTCTTCCTGCGCAGCGTCAACATATCGGCGTTCTGCCGGCGCATCCAGCACTACGGCCTGCTGGCCAACAAGATGCTGATCATCCTCTCGGAGGACGTGTACGCCTTCGAGCTGCAGGAGCTGCACACCTTCCTGCGCGTGTCCTTTGCCGGCATCGAGGACTGCCTGAAGCACTGGAACGTCGCCCAGCTGCGGCACATCGTGGACTTCCTGCTGGACTCGCAGTGCCATGCCGGCCTCCATCGGGCGATGCTGTCGCATAGTCACTTCTGCGAGGACGTGGAGAAGCTGCTGGACGTGGGTGTTTTACTTGACTCTTTCCTCCGGTTAAAGTACTGATTATCTTCTATGTTTTCCAGCAAATTGACGCGCGCAGTGGGATGGACGACTCGCAGGAGGAGACGCGCAAGCACCAGCAGATCTGCCTGGGCCTCGTCTTCCGCCTGATCAGCTACGTGCTGCAGCTCTCCGAGGACGGCAGCAGCTCCATCAGCCTGGACGCCATCACGCCGCGCCTCTACGAGCTGCTGGGCGACTGGCTGGCCTCCGATCTGTGCGGCGTGGCGGCCATCGAGCTGCTCTGCACCCTGCTGCGCCTGGGCAAGCGTGCGGCGGTGGCCCAGATGATTGCCCGCGATCCCTCGCATGTCGTCGGTTTGGTGGCCAGTGCCGAGCGATCGGAGACCAAGCCTGCCCAGGTTTTGGCCACCCTGCGCCTGCTGATCGTCCTGCTGCAGGAGACCAAGACCGAGAAGCTGGTGCTGTCCAAGATCTCCGAGTCGTACTTCGACAAGATTCTGGCCGCGCCGCTGTCGCTCGTTCCCCAGTTCCTCGGCACCCAGAGCCTGGCGCAGAGCGAGGTGGAGAAGGCCTGCTTCTGCCTGCTGCTGCTGGTCAACGTGGCCGGGATCGCCAAGAAGGCGTATTTGGACAAGTGCTGCGCGCTGATGGAGCAGCCCCAGCTGCAGTACTGCCTGGCACGCGGCATGGTCAGCCGGAGTGAGCCGCTGGTGGCGGCCGTCCTGCAGATTGCCCAGTTCGAGGACTTTCCCAAGGCAGCCGTGGCCAAGGTGAGCGGAGATTTCTTCTTTATTTCACGTGTATTATCATGTTTTATCTTCTTAGCACGTGGCTGCTATTAGCAGTGGTCCCAGCGGCACTCCGGCCGCAGTCTGCAGCGATCAGGCCGAGCAGTGGCGAAACCTGGGCTCGATCCTCAAGGGCCACCGCACCTTCACCGACAAGGAAACGGCGCAGCGGGTGAACGCCCTGCTCGACAGCATCGGCGGCATCGTGCGCCGCAACGAACTGGCCTCCGCGCCCGTCTCCCAGGTGATCGAGCTGTACAACCATCGCATCGACAGCCTCAACGGCGCCGTTCTGGGGCTGCAGCAGCGCCTGGAGCAGGCGGGAAAGCAGCTGGTCAGCGGCACGCAGCTCGCCCACGTTCAGAGCGCCGAACTGGAGCGCTTCCAGGCCACCAACTTCGAGCTGCTCATCAGCCAGGAGCGGTGAGTGATTCGTTGGGTTTTTATACTTTAAATTAAACATTATATATACACTCAACTAGGCTGCAGACGCAGTGCAAGGATCTCAAGCAGCAGACGGTCGAGCTGAAGAGCAACATGACTAACCTGCTGAAGCAGATGTCCGAGAACTCCGTCCACCTGCAGGCCAACGAGCGGCGGCTGCTGGTCAAGAAGTCGGAGATCGCGGAGCTGCAGAAGGAGTGCGAGGAGCTGCGCACGAGCCTGGCCGCCAAGAGCGAGGAGCTGACCAAGCTGGAGGCCCACAACAAGGAGAATGTAATTATATATTAGCTTTTTAGAAGGTTACTTTAAGTGCTGATCATCTCTTTACTTTCCTTACAGACCTCTCGCATCGACAAGCTCAAGAAGTCGATGGTGGCCTACGAGCAGGACATGAAGGAGAAGCTGCGCACCATCGAGGAGCGCGAACGGGAGCTGGCCAAGACGCACAAGGCGCTGGAGGAGCAGCGGGAGGCGTGCAAGAAGTCCGAGGACCTCGTCTCCGTTTTAGAGACGCAGCTGCAGGAGCGCAAGGACCAGATCGAGCACCTCGAGATGGAGCAAAAGGAGACGGAGGACCTGCGCAAGACCATCATGAGTTTGATGGAGAGCAAAAAGCCGAAGCGAAAGGCCTAGAATCGATTTGGAATGACCATAGGTTTAGCTATCCTTTAGAAATTATCATTTTTTTGCATTCAATATTTATATATACACATTTATTGCGTCTTGCACTTCGTATTTCGTAATTAGGCAATCCATGGTCGCCGTGCAAGCTTCCGTTCCAATTCCAGTTCAACCAAAAATACAAAACAATTGAATAAGCCGAGTGTAGTTTACAAATTACTATATATGTACTATGTTTTCTATGCGCGATTTGGGGCTTGTGCGGTCGGTTGGTGTAAAGGTATTTATTTGCTATAAGGTCTGCCATCTCGACTACTTTACGCTTACGTCTTTTACACATCTAAAGTGCCAGCGGAGGGCGGTAATTATATTAAAACGGAATAGAGTGTGGAATAGCGTACAAACGAAACGATCACAATTGAAACAGGAAAGCAAGAAGGGTCTTCCAGCTCGCAATATATACATATCTCGGTATATACAGTGCACCAAAATGGAGGAGGAGGAGCTGAAGCGGGATTGGCCCAACACCGAAGTTTACAGCTGGGAATCTGGATAGCTGGTCATCGGGCGATAGAACTTAGGAGCCAAAGTGGTCCTTGTCCTGGTCGATGGTCGCAAACTCGTAGCTGCCCCGGCCGTCGAACTGCAGGTAGTAGTCGTGGTGCGCCCACAGCGACTTGCGGTGCGAGACGGTGAACAGCGTGATGCCCACCTCGCGGCAGTAGCTGTACATCTTGCCCTCGACGTCAACGGATACGGCGCTGGTGCACTCGTCCAGGATGGCGAACTGCGGCCGATGGTAGAAGAGCCGCGCCATGGCGATGCGCTGCTTCTCGCCGCCGCTCAGCACATCGATCCAGTCCTCGATGGCATCCAGGCCGTTCTCGCGCTGCTCCAAATAGGTCAGCTGCACGATGTCCAGGTAGTGCATGAGATCCTCGTCGCTCTGGCCCAGCCGCCGCATGTCCTCGCGCGTGTGGGGGTAGATTATCTGGTGGATAAACAGATTTGGGGGATTAATTATAGCTAGTTATAGGAACGGAACCATCCCACCTGGTCGCGCAGCGTGCCCAGCGTCATGTAGGGCCTCTGCGGTATGTAGAAGAGCTTGCCGCGCGACGGCTTCGTCACCTTGCCGCCCCACGTGGGCCACAGCTCGCCGAGGATGCGGAACAGCGAGGACTTGCCGCAGCCATTGGGGCCGCAAACCAGAACATTAGTGCCCGACTTCACCTCGAAGGTGAGCTCCTGCAGCAGCACATCGCCGTTGGGCGTCACCAGCGGCACCTTCTCGAACCGTATGATGTTGTCCTCGAAGCACATGATGCCCTTGTTGGGCCCGAAGTTGCCAGCCGTCTCCTGGCTGATGTTGTTGCCATTGATCATGGTGCGCTCGTAGGTGCCCTTGTTCAGGTCGCCCAGCACCTTGATCAGCTCCGTCATGCGGGCCGTGAAGCCCGCCAGGCGGGACATCTCGCGTCCGGCCAGCACCAGGCGTCCAATGGCCTCCGCCAGCTTGACCAGCATCCGGCCGTAGGTGTAGTAGGCCTGCAGACGCTGGCCGCTCTGCTCGCCGGACAGCAGCGGATGGTTCTCGGCGAAGAAGGGAATGGAGACGGCATAGAAGCCCACAATGGAGGCGAAATCTACAGATTAGAAACAATTAATACAGGTAACTATATATGGGTAAGAACACTAACATTTCCCGATGATGTTGTCGATTATGCCCATGCTGACGCGGAACTCGAGGAACTTGCGCAGGTGCGAGCGCAGCTTGGAGTAGCTGGCCAGCAGCGTGAGCTTCTCGCGCACGTTGCCCTGGTAGAAGGCCACCTCCTCCGAGTTGGTGATCAGCCGGCTGTTCACGTAGCGGAACTCGCCCTCCAGCTTCTGCTCCTCGACGGTCAGGCGGCCGGTGGGCCGGCGCAGGCGGGTCAGGAAGACGCCGGCGAAGAGCAGGTAGAGCATCAGGATGGAGGGCGTCTTGCCGCCCAGATTGACGGTCAGGCGGTAGACGTAGATGAAGATGTCCAGCACGGGCTTGCTGATGTTCGAGTACAGATCCGTGGCGCTCTCGCAGAACTTGTCGATGTCCGTGGTCAGCAGCTGGTCGGCGTTGGCTATCCTGTTGTCCAGATTGGACATTTTGTAGTAGGTGTAGCCACTGCAGGGGAAAAAGAGATGTTAGTCTATGATTAGGATGAATTCAAGGCATCACCAGACTCACTTTAGGTACTGACTGTACAGGTGATGCGTGAGGTTGGTGCGGAACCTCAGCTTCAGCTCGCCCAAGCTCCACTTGAGGACGTTGGTCACCACAGAGATCTGTAAAAGAAACATTATGTTATTTATTTATTTATATAAAGCTAACTTAAAGTTAAAGCTATAAGCTAGCTAAATTAAGAAGCAGAAGCTGTCTGCTTGACAGCGTACGTGAACATTGAAAGCTAGCAGCGCAGCGGCAGAGAATCTAAGATCTAGTAACTTACCGCTGGCAGAGCTGTCAGATATTTAAGCAGCGCCGACTTGAACTTGGTGCGGTTCATGTGTATGATGGTGCTCTCCACCACAGTCGCGTTCTGGATCATCCAGATGTCGCTCACCGAGCGACCGATCAGTGCGGCTGCCACCAGGAAGAGCAGGCCAGTCTCGATGCTCCAGAAGCCCGGGATGAGGATGGCTAAGGAAGGGAAAATAGGGGGGTTTATAAGGGATATGGATATTGAGGATTAGGGATCTAGATTAACTCACGCAAAAGCTGGCGCAGCTGCTTGAAGAATACTGAGTTCACATGGGCCTTGGCCGCCTTCTTCTCCTTCTTTTCCGCAATTGTGTACTGGATCTTGTCCTCATAGCCGGGTTTTCTGAAATTACGAATTAGGATTTAATGATTAGGAATTTTATGCATTTAATATTTAAATAACTATGACTAACAAGCTGGAAATGATAAGAATTGCTGGAATTCCAACTTGGAGCATTAGTGGACGAGAAATTTTAACAACAGTTTCCTGAATTCGTACAAAACATGGCATTATTTGATAATACCATTGTAGGCATGATATCATTACCGAGTTAATACACCCAACAAATTGCCAGTGCTGGTGGTTATTTATAAAATAAATTACAATTGCTTAACTCCCTGTCTATATGGTGAATTTGAATATCAACCTTTGCCTCTCGCCTCGCGAATAAAGAATGAACTACGTGCTTAATGTCTCCATAAACTCTCCTACTTGCAGTGAAGGTGTGCGATTAAGTGTAACCATTAAATCGCTGATGAGTAGATCAGCCGTGACATTTTTCACAGCTCTTCATTGGGTTGAAATAAAACTGCTCAATCATATCGAATTAATCTCAGGGGAGGCTATTATTCATCAGGTTTTGTAGGAGGGCAGATCAAAGATCTTAACTATAAAAATCTTGACTATATTGATATTTTAATTTCCTTTTTTCGCAGTTCTTTTGTAAATCTTTATCTACACTTTAGATAAAATTGATCACTCTTAAGTTTCGTACTTTGAACACTTATTATCGATAAGCATTCTATTTATAGAAACATTTTGCCTATAAATTGTTCCATAAATCCCATCCTAAAATATTTCTAATAATATTTCGCTGGCTTACTTAATATATTTTCTTACAAGAATTTAAAAACCCTAGAAAAAATTAATTTATCAAATCTAATTTAAAGTTTAAATAACCATCGTACTAATATTTTAATACACTGGTAATGCATTTCATTTCCCCATTCGCGTACCGTAAAATATTCGGAAGCTAAAAGAGAAAATAAAATAATAATTAAAGGGGTGTAATCATAATGGGATCATGATCATGGACACCGGTGAAAAGCGGCGTCCAATTACAACCAACCGACAGTGCTGACCAGCTCAACACGAACGAAAGTCCGCACCAACAACTTGGGATCGCTTAAATCAGATCATTTCAGAGACGGTTCGGTTCGAAGTCTATTGGATGATGATGATGTGGGGGTTGTGGACTATAGCGATGCATATATGTTAGCCCAAACAAAGTACAAAGCTCGCGACTTGGTTATCTGCAGGCGAAGAGCGAAAAGCGAAAAGCGACGAGTCGTGATGACTTGGTTATTTCTTCTTCGATATCGCTGATCGCAGATCTCTGAATAATTCATAGTGCTCTTCTATTTATTTCTGTCTATCCATCGTCCGTTTGTCTGGCTCTCGTGCGGTTTTCCTTATTTGATATTTTTATTTTTTTTAATTCATATATTAAACTTGTTTTCACCGCCTCGCCGTGGAACATGTGTTTGGGTCCATAGGTCACCGCCTGAATGCCCGCCTGCTGCTGAATTGCCCACTCGATTCATCGAAACGAAAGCTCTCTTTCTATAATCGCCGGCGATCTGCTAATAGGGGGCACATTGAACCCAAACACCGAAAGATCGGATCGGATCGGTTGGGTTAGGTGTCTGACTCAGATAGAGTGGTTATATTATAGCGACGATTTCAATTGCGATTCCAATCAAAGTTCAGCGGTTCTTTCGCCTTCTTATCGAGCTAATGTCTGATAAACACTCGCCAAATCAGATAGCTTTATAGTATATACCCATACCCCCAGACACACAGTCATCACTCATCACCTGTTGGCTATTGCCCCACTCACACCAGTTAGATTTCAAAAGAAATAGAAGTAGAAAGAGAGAGAGTCAGGGGCCTTGGCAACGTGGCAGATTGACGATCTGCGATCTGCGATCGACAGGTGCAAATGTCATTGAAGTTACGAATCTGCATTGAAGTTACGATCTCATTTCACGCATTTCACATATACAGATTAGGAAAATCTAATTTCGGGGGGAGAAGCAAAGGTCCCACTTTTGCATAAATGAATGAGAATCTTTCTCTGCTGGAACTTCTACTACCACAACTACTGATTCTACCGATTACGCAACAGCAGTCGGGGCCAGAATGTGTCTACCTGTGGAAAACAGAGAAAACAGAGCGAGGTGTACACAAATTAACACCTATAGCACCTATAACCCCGCACCCAACAATAACAGCCCAGCCAAGAAATGGGGGAAAAACGAAACCAGAAGCCTCTTTTCTCTTTTTTCCACTTTTTTTTAACTTTAACTTGGTGTTTGGGCGTCCGTCGCAAGTCATTAAAAGGTACGGCTGTAATGTTTATGTTTTATACTCGGGTGTCATCATGTCCATCCATGGGTACAATGGGTATATGGCTATATGGATATATGGCTATAGTCGAGTATGTTGCAACAGCAAAGTAAACTAACTGCCCACCGGTTGTTACGTTGTTACGTGTTCGATTGCAAGACACACAGGCTGCTGGGCTGGATTGGATATTGGATGTCAAAGTTTTCGGACTTCGGAACAGGCGGACAGCCGATTTGCATAGGTGTTTACCCTTCGGTAGCGGCGCTTTTGAAGGAACCACCAAGAATTCGAACCCCTTGCAATCGTTACAAGGTGTATCAGGTGGTTCCAACCATATTTATTATATTAGAACACTTTTTTTTAGGGTAAGGCCCTACCTCTGATAAGTAGGTGCCATAAAACATGTTCTATAAAGGTTGTGCAAAGGGTTTTACTCAGGGAACGAAAATAACTGTTATTGTAAATTTTTCATACAAAAAAATCACGCACTTAGAAGGGTCCTAAAAATTTTTTAAATACACCACAATTTTTATTAGCCATTGTAGTTTACAAATCCGTAATGATTTTTATTTTTTGATTTTTATAATAAAACTCAAAAAATAACTGTTATTTTTTGATTTTTATGAATAACAGTTATTCCTTTGACATTTTTGAAAAAATTAAATAATTAAAAAAAACATAATACCCGTGCTTTTTATAACTTACTAAAAATTTGTTAAAAAAGGCAACCGCGCATATTTTATACCTATATTTTTTTAAAATTTTGTTTACCCACAAAATCGCCATAAATCAAGTTTGAGTTTTATTTTGATCACGACGAATAACTGTTATTTGTCAACTTTTATTATAAAACTCAAAAAATAACAGTTATTCTTTGAGTTTTACTTTACAAATCAGAAAATAACTGTTAAAGTGTGATTTTTAAAATAAAACTTATAACAGTTACGTTCCCTGGTTTTACTACTCTACTGACATAAAAACGTTCTTATTAATCATTTACACTAATTGGTAGAGGTTTTCCAACTTGCAAAATATATAGTACCTGCTGACAATGAAATTCTTAGACTTTAAAATAATATTTAAAGTAAATATTTGAAATTCTAAAGGGGGAACAAAGAATAGAATATTATATCATATTTATTTAATTTAATTGGATATGATACGATATGATATGAAGAAGATCTGGACTCTGGAATAATGTGAGTCAGCCCATCCAAAGTAGGGGAATCGCATATGGAATGGCGCATAAATTCGCCATCGACAACGTAAAAAAAAATAGAGAAAGAAAAAGAAATCAACAACCGCCGACAGCCCATTAAAAATCTTTAATTTCGATGGCCAGCCAAAGTGCAGGCCACACTTGTATTCACGCTGGCGTGCAGAAGGTGCGGAAAGAGCCAACTGATATCGAAATAATCGGAATAATAGCTGCAATTATCGAGTGGCGCATGCATACGCCAATGCACTCGACTTGCCCGCCCCAATCTCTCTAATTAATTGGCTCTGTCATGCAAATAGACGAATTCCCCCTCCATCGCTGCTCTTTATTCAATTACTCGGAATGGTCGGAAAGCGGAGAATTCCGGGCCAAACCCTGAGCATCGTAACATCGAATATAGACCAAATATCGGGCGCGTTAACAACAGCATAATCGGCACGAGTGCCGATAACGTGGGTATATTGGGTTGAGTATTGTAGACGGTTCTTATACCGATTAGATTAGCCAAAGAGACCAAGTCCATCCAAACACCGAAACGTGGCCCTTGGGAGGAATGGCAATGGGAATGGGGATTGGAAATGGGGTCGTAAGTGCTCGATTGGGAAATCCTTGAACAAACATTTATAACAGTACTGGCATCCAAGTGGTGCTCCAAATTCCAGATGACGTGTGCGTAAAATGCTTCAGCAATTTTTAAACTATAAGTTCTATTGTGTACTTCCTATTTCCTATATTATTTAAAAATCTTTTTGAAAATGTTAAATGACTATCTTGTGAAATCTAGCCACTGCACAGTGGGGTAAAATTTAAATTTTTTTAAACCAAAAATCAGCTATTTCTTCGTGAATATAATTATCAAGCTATAAACAAACATAAAATAAAGTTTGTGGTTTTATAGAATAAATATAAAAGGTAATACGAAATGATTCTATGAATTTGTTGATTTTTTAAAATAAGTAAGTATAGTTTTGATTACATAAAAATATGTGAAAAATAATATTTAGAATCATGAAATGCAAATAAAATAGTTTAGGCATTTCTTCTTTTGGCTATATTTTTTAACAATATTATGAATGCTAAAAAAACTTCCCAGCTGCAAGGTGAGACAACTTTTGGGCCCACTGTGCTCTAGAGGACGGATCAATTGAAACCGGAATACAATGAAGTGGAAGTGCATCCAGTGTGGAAGGAAAACGAATCGTAAAACCAGTTTGAAATCCACCAGATGACCCACTACGACATCGTATGTTCCGCACACACACACACACTCGGCGCCTTGGCAATTTTCAAGAGTGCGGTGTGCAAATAAATCAAATTCAATATCACGGAAATTTCGGTGGCCAAGACCGAGACCTTTCTCAATGCTGTCGTTTGCAATATTGTTGATATTCCATAGATACTTTAGAATTAAATAGTACTAAGGTGTAGCATACACTTCCCAAAAGATCCGAATAGAAAGACAATGCCTTGAGATAGAAATCTAAAAACAAAAACCGAAATTCGGGAACCGGGGATCATAATATATGGGGACTCACCTCTTCTTGTTGGACATCTTGCCGTAGGCGATTATCCAGAGGGCCGCCGTCATGCCCGCCACGCCGACGATGGCGCTCTGGTTGTTGGCCAACTTGCTCAAAGCCGGGGCCATAATGCTTTTCGTTCGGAATTCGGGAACTCAGGAATTCGCGTGTTCCGCGTTCGCACTTCAATGTTGAATTTCAGCGATTTATGTGGATACAACAACGCACGTGGAGCACAGCAAAAACATCAAGAAACGAAAAAAAATTAAATAAATAATATGGGAAACGGGGAATCGTAATTGTCACTATTGTTTATTGCACGGATACGGATTTCAATATAATTTCTCTCTGCTGTTCGATGACGACACACGGACACACACACACACACACAGAAGGCGGAGAGCAGGATGTAAACACCTGGTTGTCGAACAGCCCTGTCTTTGCTTCGTCCTCTCTCGCTCTCTCTCGTTGCCACAGCCTGCCTGCTGCTGCTGCTGCTTCTTCTTCTCGGTGGCGCTCCTTTTCTGGCCAAAGGGGGTGGTCAAAGTGAGTGTCACACACGGCGGGCGCTTTTATTTATTCAATTTGAGCCAGGCGCATTTCTTTGTTTGGTAATTACACTTTACTCTGCTCGGCCAAGTCGGGGAAACTTTCGTAGGTAGGTGAAACGAGCGACTAACTTAGTTCGATTGTGCCAGTGCTGGTCTAGTCGGGGCGGCGCTGCCAGCACAGCTTCTTTCTAGCTAGCTATCGGCGGAGAAAGGGCGCCTATCGGCCTCTTCACATCACTAGAATGTTAAGTGCAGCGGTTTTCTATCGGAAATGTTAGGTTACAACGCTGTGCTCTAACATTCCTGTTGTTTAAAAACGAAAATTGTATTTTATCAACATCACACGGAAAGTATCATGGTTTTATTTATTATTTTAAGATTGGCATTTAAACTTAGACATTTTACTTGTTTTCCATTTTTCGCAAAAAAAAACAAGATGTACCTACCCATTAACAAAAAAAATGGAAAATTGACGAAAATTTTATTTTTTCAAGATCACCCGGAAAATAATTAGTTTTTTGACCGTAACAATGCAAATATTTATCCAAATATGGATTGTCATACCTTTCTGAACTCGTTATTAAATTTCCTATCGATTGACATTTAAACCTGGACACTTTATTTGTTTTCCATTTTTCGCAAAAAAAATCAAGATCTACCCCCTTACAAAAAAATTGAAAATTGACAAAAATGTTATTTTTTCAAGATCACCCGGAAAGTAACATGGATTTATTTATTATTTTGTTATCTGTTCAAAACAGTATGTATTTTTGGTGTAGGACAATTTTTGGCCAAGTTACAGCAAAAAAACGAAAAGAAAAAATTCCTATTTTTGTCAAAAACCAAGATCCCAATTTTTCACAAAAATAATTCGTTTTTTGACCGTAACAATGCAAATATTTATCCAATATTTATCATACCTTTCTGAACTCGTTATTAAATTTCCTATTGATTGCTATTTAAACCTGGACATTTTATTTTTTGCCATTTTTCGTAAAAAATTATGATGTTACCCCATGATGTAATATAATATCCAAATTTAACACACGCTGCACTCCACAGGTTATCCTACAGGTTATCTCAATCAGTAGTCTGGAATCTAGACCTTTCTACGCCCAGCTTATCGAGGGCCGAGGTATTTGCCTTCCTCCACCCATGAGTCGACAGAAAGGGGTCACTCCGCCCAGCTCCCTTCTTATCTTGCGGAGGCCAGTCAGCATATTAAAGGTTGTGAAATGCACAGGGTCTTCAACAAAATGTGTGTGTATTCTCTGAGAGTTCATAGCCAGCAAAGCATTTAACAATGGACCATCGATGTGTCGCTCTATTACAATATATAACTCAATTAGATGTCACGCAGATTCCGACGCAGACTGCGACCGAAGAGGCTTCTGGCCAGGAACAGAGGCACAGAGTAACCGATGGGCATGCCGAGCAATGTGGGGGACAAGTCTGGTCAACATGGCAACCGATTCTCGGCGAGATGGGGCGGCGCCTAGTCGCAGGAGCCATCCAGCCAGCCGTCGCGCCACCGCTCGTTCACCTTGGTGCAGTCGAAGAGCGGCTTGCCGAGCTTGTCGTTCACCCGGTTGTGGAACTTGCACAGCCACATGGCCAGCTCCTTCTGCGAGTTCACGTTGATGGGGTTGACATCCAGGCTGAGGGCGTACAATTAGGGTTAGAACTAGCGAATCTCTGCGGGAAATGCCCACTTACTCGGTGCGAAAGTCCTTGGCGCAGAACTCGCAGGGATAGAGGCGGGAGAGCACCTCGAAGAAGGTCTTCATGTCGCGCTTCTCGGTGTCCGTGGGATTGTCCGAGTAGAAGGCGGCCATGGTGTGGAGCAGGCCCCAGGTGGAGATGCCCAGCCGCACCTTGTCCAGCGGGCAGTCGTCGCGGGGCAGCGGCTCCTGGGCGGCGGCGTTAACAGTCAGCTTCTCGGCGGTGGCCATGTGCTTTACCTGCAGGAATAGGAGAAGCTCTAGATAGCACGAAAATAAAGCAGAGTCACCTTACCTTGGCGCTCTGCACGCTGGAGATGAGGCGCTGCTGCTTGGACCAGGACTTGAAGTCGTTGCAGGTGCGGCAGTTGGAGTCCTGCTTGCCGGAGGAGGAGGCGGCTCCAGCAGCTCCGGCTCCCTTGCGGTTCGCCCCGAAGGATGACTCCCTCTCCGTTTCGGGATTCGCCTCGGCGGACATGCTGAAGTCCGGGTCGCGGATCAGGCGGAGAACGGTGCGCTGCAGGCGGCGGATCAGCAGGCGGGTGGCCTCCCGACTGAGCTCTATGTGCGTGGCGGGGCTGCTGTAGTCGTAGCCGTAGTTGTGGCACGGGCGGCGCAGCAGGATCGTTGAGGCGGCGGGCAGATCTGGAATCTTGAAACTTCGCTCGGCTATTGTGAAAATCATAAAGAACATGCGCATGGTTGCCACCTTGTTTCAGAACAACATGTTACTCGGGTATTACGTTTGCCTGTGGGTTTTGTTTTGTAGTTGCTGTGTGGAAATGGGGAAATGGGAAATCGGGAAAAGTCTAGTTCTTAGGGGGCGTGGCAAGGGCAGCTAAGTATTTATTTTCAAATTATACCTGCCGGATAAACCCGGTCTGGCAGCCCGGTCGCCGCTGTTATCGATAACCGACCATGGCGCAGCCGCCACAATTCAAATTCAAAAAGCGCTAACCAAAATAGCTACGATTGCAACTTACATGTGAAAGTGAAGAAAGCTGGCGGTTCTGAGTGCTGCAGCCCCAGATTAATTTAGCGCCTTGAAACTGCTTAAAATAGAATAACACATATGCTATTGGCAATATTTATTGATTTTTCTAATCCAAATTTTTAACGTACACAATACAATTTTTCGAAGACTCTTCCCGTACACTTCTACACTTACAGGTCTGATATCTGATCTGATCTGTGACATATTTCGCAAAAGCTCTGTGTGATCTGAAGGCACAATGTCGGTTAATATATGTAGTAAATATAGTAAATTCACTTAGTAACAACTGCTACGTGTGGCACGTGAGTAAGACAAGTTAACAACTGGCCGCCGATTTGGGTTTGGGTTTAGGGTTAGCACTTCGCAGTGGTTAGACGTACGACACTCACAAGTTTATAAATATGTTTATATATAAAACCATTCCCTGGCTTGGGAACGCACATAAATTAAGCGTGTAAACATTACAAAAAGAGTTAATATAAAATGTTAAATTGGCGCCGATTGTTGCTCCTGTGGCATTTAGTTAGCTTCAGGCGTAGTCCCTGAACATGGTGAACAGGCTGTAGAGGACGCGCAGGGTGGACTTGAGGTCCATGTTGACGATGTCCTCCGGCCGCGCCTTCGGCTTGGGCAGGCCCACGTCCTGCATGAGGTCGAAGGCGAAGGCCACGTTGCTCACCATCTGGTCGACGTCCTGCGGCGTCAGGTGGAACTCGTGCAGCGGCACAAAGAAGCCGCCCAGCAGGCCCATCAGCAGGCACAGATAGACGCCGTCGCGGAAGTCCGTGTTCAGGTCGCTGATCTCGAAGTTCAGCTTGGCCAGGTGCTTGTTCACGAACGTGATCAGGGACTTCTTCACCACGGCCAGCTTGTCGGGCGCACAGTCGATCAGCGTGTCGAAGGCGTCCTTCTCGCAGCGCATGCCCAGGTCATCGTACTCCGAGGTTATCTGCTCCTGGAACTTCTGAGCATTCAGCACGCCCGCGTTCTTCTCCGCAATCACCACCGTGACGAAGACGTTCTCCGGCAGGCGAACGGGCGCCCGGAAGTGACGCACCAGCGCCACCAGCAGATGCAGAATGGCCACGATGTTCTTCGAGTGCACGCTGGCCACCGACCATTTGGGGATCTTCTGGTGGAAGCCGAGGGTCTGTGGGGATTTAAAAAGCAATTGAAATTACTAATAAATATTTAAAGTTATAAATAATGATGAGTAAGAGTGAGAAAGTGAATAATAAGCAAAGAAATTAGTTTAAGTAGGCTTGGTCTAATAAAATAACCTTATAATACTTCTTATTATACCATTTTTTCTTGTTGTAATTTATTTTTTTGGTAGATACAATCATTACAAAGCCTTTTTTGTAGAATTTTGCTGATTATTTTTCAAGATTATACCATTTTTTCTCGTTGTAATTAATGTTTTTGGTAGATACAATCATTACAACGTTTCTTTCGAATATTTTAATGATTATTTTTCAAGATTATACCATTTTTTCTTGTTGTAATTTATGTTTTTGGTAAATACAATCATTAAAACGTTTTTTTTTTAATATTTTGCTGATTATTTTTCAATATTGTTCCATTTTTTCTTGTTGTAATTTATGTTTTGGTAGATACAATCATTACAACGTTTCTTTTTAATATTTTGTTTAGTATTTTTCAAGATTATACAATTTTTTCTTGTTATTACTTAAGTTTTTGGTAGAAACAATCATTACAACGTTTCTTTTTAATATTTTGATGATTATTTTTCAAGGTTATACCATTTTTTCTTGTTGTAATTTATGTTTTTGGTAGAAACAATCATTACAACGTTTAATGTAATATTTTGCTGATTATTTTTTCCAGATTATACCACTTTTTCTTGTTGTAATTTAAGTATTTGATAGAAACAATCTTTACAAATTTTTTAAAAAATAGTGTACTAATTTTTTTCAAGTTTTCCGTATTATTTCTAAGAATAACTCACATGGTTAACCGCCTTGAGGACGATGTTGAGCTTCTCGTGCTGACCCTGCTCCGACTGGGTGACCTCCGGGACGTCGAGCTTCTTGCCGGTGAGCTTCTCCCAGAGCTTGTGCAGCACCTGGCCGTCGTACATGTCCTCGTCCAGCTGCTGGACGATGATCCGCTGCTCGGCGAGCACGTCGTTGATCCAGTCGACGAGGATGCGCTGCAGCTTGATCACCTCGGGATCGTTGATGGACTGCGGATCGATGACGGCGCGCTGCTCGTGCTCGCCTGTTGGAAAAGGGATTGCCTGTTAGGAAGGGGGATTCCCCGCCAGGAATGCAGATGCACTTACGCAGGGCGTAGTCCTCGGGCGGGATGTCATACTGGCTGGGCGATCCGGGTGAGTCGATGGCGTACTTGCCCTCCTCCTGCACCTTTTTCACTGCAAATGGTATTTAAAGATATCAGAGATATCGATATATAAGGTAAACACAAACGATGACGACACAAGGCCATCACACACACAGACACACTCGCATTTGACAGCCCCGTTTGTTTGTTTGTGTGCGTCATCAGTGACGCAATGTTCTGATTCCGCATCTGCACATCTGTTCCCAGAAGAGCTTCCTGGGCGCAGGGGGTGCAGTTTCCGGCCCCCTTTTGCCAGCCAATCCAGGGTTTATACATCCAAGAAGCGAATCCCATAGGATCTCCTTCGGTTCCGCGGCAAATAGAGCCTAAAAGCGATCCACCTACCTTCGCGGGTGCCGCGTTTGCGACCCAAAGTGCTGAACTTGTCCCAGAAACTGTCCTCCTTCTCGCCCTTCTTGATGGCGGTGGGCGTGTGCGGGGACTTGGGGCGGTTCAGGGTGGACATGGCGCCGACGGAGCTATTGGATTTACTGGATTCCGCGAATTCCCTTTCCGATTAACTCAACGGTTTCTGTTTCTGTTATTGTTTCGATTCGGTTTTCGGGCGGAGCTGAGCAATCAGTTTCCCTTGGGGCTGCCACCTGATCGCAGACCCGCGGCGTTGACCAACACTGGAATTCGGAGTAAATGAAAATAATTCGGAATAATTTAGAAAAAAAATTTTATCATGCCCATATAAAAATGTATTTTACCCCCCTTATTAATTAAAAATCATGAAAAATTATATTGTTTTTAGAACCATTCCATAAAAAGCCATAATATCCGTATCAGATCAGAAAGAATATATGTATCGTATCGTATTAGGACTATGAATATGTATAGTAGGTCAATAGGTCTAGGCTCTCATATGGAGTTGGGCAGCTGGCAGGCTCGCACCGCCACCAGCTGCAGGAGGACAAAGATCGGGGAGAAGACCTCCGAGTACTCGAGCCCCGTCTTGCTGGACAGCTTCAGGCAGAGCAGGTACTTGAAGATGGCGATCAGCACCAGGAAGTAGGTGCTCCACATGAACCGATGCAGGGCCTTGCGCTTGTTGTTCGAGTCCAGATACATGCGAATGCCCACGATGACGCAGAAGTAGGCGTTGCAGATGTCGATGAAGAACAGGGGGCTGAAGACGGTGAACCAGTCGCCCATGGGCTCGGGTAAAATGCCCCCGGGTCCAATCCGCGCCTGCAGATGCAGCTTGACGGCCAGCGTGATGGTGAAGACCAGCAGGCCGCACAAATTGACCAGGATCTCGAACTCGGTGAGCCCCAGCCAGCGCACCAGCTCCGATAGCTTGAACATCCTATCTATTCTACTGCCTGGGCTTCGGTTTGCCCCGGAATTGGCCAAGGGATTGGTTCTGGGACTGCGAGGGCTGCGGCACAACGATGTCGAAGAGGCTGCGATTGAAGATCTTGATGTGCAGGGCCGAGTTGTTGCGCTGCCGGAAGGTTACGTCCTGGTCATCGCTCAGCGGATGCAGCTCGTCCACCAGGTGGACGGTGGACGTGTTGATCGCGTAGCTGAGGGCGCCCTCCGAGTTGTGGACGAGGCGCAGGGCGAGATTGAGGCCGCGGGTGACCGAGAAGCCCATGCAGTGCAGGAAGATCTCGCGGGCACCGGAGTTCAGCAGCTCCTCGCAGCGGCGCTGCTGGGCCTGGGCAGGTAAAATTAAGATTATCACTTGGTAGGTGGAGCAATTTCCGTACACTTGCCTTGAAATCCGTCTTGCTGGTGATGTAGATGTTGTGGCGGTCGCTGCTGACGGCCGGTCGCGGCGGCTGCTTGCGCACCACTCGGTGGTTCTGTTGTCTGTGGGGTCTGGTGGATCTCGGCTTGGTCCCGTGCTCGGGAGGATTGCTGCCCATCATCAACGGCGGCGGCGGAGGAGGCGACTTGTGTTTCTTCCCATCTGCGCGTGTCACAGATTCGGACTCCAGTCGCTGCCCAACACTGGCCGCGTGTCGCCGACGATCTGGCAACCCGGCCCTAGCTGTCACGCTGACAGCTCTCGATACTTTTCGTCCATCGCCAATCTATCGTCGGGCTCGTGAGATTCTCGCCAGTTGAAAATTTTTCGTCGTACTCTCGTAACAACAAAGGTATGTTTTAGGCATTATCCGCACCTTCTAACCAGACCGTAAGCCAAGGCACCGATCCGATCGATCGATCGATCGATCGAAGCCAACCAAAGAAAGCAGGAACTTGGCCACAAGGCAAACAAATGAAAACTTCGCAACTCGTAACACACACACACGCACACACATAGACACTAGCGCACTAACACTTCCGCTGGCGGAGGAATTCGCAGCAGGAAAAAAAGAAAAGAAAGAAAAAAGTACAAGTTACATAACTCGCTGGTGCACTCGGGGGTAGAAGAAGTGGGCGTAAGGGGCGTGGACCGGGGGCCCAGTCTGCATCTGAATCCTCATCCGTAAGTTGTCCCCCCTCCCCTGAGGTTACATAAGTCACCGCTCGCCAAAAAGAGGCGAGGGTGGACACAAGAATAGGTAAAGCAGAGTCCCCATAAAAATATAACTAATTTTGTAGCCAGAAAGACAGAATCAAAATCAAAATGAAAATCAAAATCCCCTGCACCGCGCGTTTCCTGGTTCGAGTAACGTTTTGTATTCATGCGTTCAAGTCATTTTTCCATGCAGGCGAATCCGAAAATCCGATACGTTTCAGAGTCGCAATCGCAATCGCAAGTTAAGCATAGAATAGATTCGAGCTGAAACTCGAACTAAACTGGAAGGATTCTCCACAACAACAACAACAACAGCAGGAACAACCACGGACGATAACGTAACGTAGCCGCAACGTTGGAACAGCAGCAGCAACAACAACAAGAACATCAGCAGCGGACATCGCAAACAAGTAAATTACCATTTCTCATTTTATCAAACAGAAATCTGCCAGCCAAATCAAATCAAAGCAATCCAATCAAATCAAATCGAATCGAAAATCCAATGCCTCCAAAAATCCAAGTCAAAGTCTGAGTATCTGAGTATCCAAATTGCATAAGAGTCTCGAGAACAGAGAGCCTCTTCCGGTTCCCCTGGCACTTGGTTGGAGTTCAGGCTCGCAATCCCATCCCAATCCCTTCCTGAACCCATTTCCTGATCCAATTTCCGGCCAGGTCAAGGAGCCCTGCGCCAGCCAAGTCAAGTCGGGGCCACAAATTTCGCTAGACTCTCGATTCTGACCAAAAAGCCAAACCAAACAGAACGCCAGAACAGAGCAGATCGAATATATATATCAAAAAAAAAAAACAGAAAGCATACTGATATTGTGTATACATAGGTATTTCGTATAAACGCGCCTCTGCCAACTGCTCGATTTAACGCGGCACAGTTTCGAATTGCAGATCATCTACTACATCCATCCGACATGTCGGCGGCCCGGCTGCCCTACTATCAGCAGGATCAGGAGGACCAGCAGCGGCGCACCGCACGTGGCCATCAGCAGCGCGGCTACTACGAGCGTGCCTCCTCCTCCAGGCGGGACAGGGAGCGGGATCGGGATCGGGAGCGGGAGCGCAGCAATCGCTACAGTCGCAGCCGTTCGCGTTCCCGCAGTCGCAGTCGCAGCCGCTCCGAGGAGCGTTCTAGCCAGCGGCGCCGTCGCCACGAGCAGCAGCGTCCCTCGTCCCGCTACCACAGGGATCGCGACTCCAGGGAGCGTGACTACTCGAGGCGCTCCAGCCACTACCGCCGCTCGGAATCGCCAGCCTCCGCCTCGAACCCCTCAACCAACAGCAGCAGCAGCAGCAGCGGCCAGCGCAGGGGCCACCAGCCCTCGTCCGCCGGCAGATCAGAACTGAGCGCCGTACAGAAGGCAGCCGCTGCCGCCGCCGCCGCCGCAGAACAAGTACAAATGGCCGGCAAGAGCATGAGTGCCGCTGCCGCCGCTTCGGCAGTGGGCGCCTACTATAACCTGGACACCGACGAGCCCTTCGACAAGGAGCGCATCCACCGCGAGATGGAGCAGAAGCTGCGCGAGGCGTTGGCCCGGGAGGGCAAGGTGTATCCGCCGCCCAAGCCGGAGCCGCCCTCGCATCCCGTCTTCGCCAACGACGGCTCGTTCATGGAGCTGTTCAAGAAGATGCAGGAGGGCCAGAAACAGCAGCAGCAGCCGATGCAGCAGCAGCCAGGAGCCATGGAGGAGATGCTACAGCAGCAGCAGCAGCAGTTGGCCTCGGCGGAGGCATCCTCCTCCTCGGCGCCCGCGCTTCCTGCGATTGCTGTTGGGGCTGCCAGCAGCGCTGCGGCTCCGTATATTGCAGCCGCCGCTGCTGGGAAGTCGGCGCCGCCACCTCCGCTGGTGGGACGACGTCGCGGCGGAAAGGTGCTGAAGACCGGCGTGGTGGCCAAGCTGAAGACGCCCAACGAGAGCGACGTGGACCCCAAGGACTTCTGGTCACTGTATTTGGCCGAGGTCAACAAGTACAAGAGCAACGCCTGCGATACGGACAATGGCAAGCGGCCGCTGGTCAAGTAGAAAGCGGGAAACGGGAAACAGGAAACTTGAACTTGAACGCAGGCCGAGCAGAGAAACGTGAAATTCGATTTTGATTCGACCAATACCACCCAGTCCCATTCACTAGACACTAGACCCTCAGAGGATTTTTGAAACACGAGAATAGAGGCGGGCACAGAGATCCGTAGTTTGTAGACGTAGTCGAGGGCTTTCGAGCTGTGTAATTTGTATTTTTTTCACACGGGTCGAGGGACTAGCCGCTGCCTCGATCCTTATACACATAATACGATAATCATAATCTAGCCAGTAAGAAGTACTTTTAGAAGATCCATGCGAGATGTATCTCTCTATAAAATATGATTACGATATATATATATATACATATACCGCTCATTAAGCAACCGCAAACTTGAAGAACTAACCTTTGTGATTTATATATCTATCTCTTCCTACCCGTTTTTGCACTCAAATTGTATTTAACTTTATTTTCATTTTCACCCCCTTGGTTATGTACACCCACATCCATCTCTTTCTTTTTCATTCATTTGGTTGCGATTCGATCGATGATTTTCGCCTTCCCTTTTGGTTTTTACTTTTCCGTTCCCTTTCCAACTAAAGTCTCTATGCAATTTTTCATGTCCAAAAACAAAAGCAGCGACAAATCGTCAGACAGCAGCAACATGTCCGCCTACAAGCTGGAGACCGCCCCCTTCGATCCACGGTTCCCCAACCAGAACGTGACCCGCTACTGCTACCAGTCGTACATCGACTTCCACCGCTGCCAGAAGAAGCGCGGCGAGGACTTTGCGCCCTGCAACTACTTCCAGAAGGTCTACAAGTCGATGTGTCCCAACGCCTGGGTGGAGAAGTGGGACGACCAGCGCGAGAGCGGCACATTCCCGGGCCGCATCTAGAGATCTAGAGGTCACCGCAACCCCAAACACCAACCCCAAAGCACACAGAGGACACGATGGATGGGCGGACGTAGCGAAGTAGCGACGTAGAGGAGTGTGGCCATCAGAATCCAGCAATTGCAACAGAGACTACTTGTTCATGTTTGTGCTTTCCCGAGCGATGAATGCAGATTATCGTCGTCAAATACAAATACACAAATGTTCAATTAACTGAATTCTGAATCCGAATCGACCGTTTGTTTCTTCTTCATCTTGTTGCTGGCCGAAGAGGAGCTCGAATCAGATCCACGCCACTGTATTCCGATGTGTTATTAATTAATAAACTATTAGACACGAGAAAGGGGCCATCGTTTCCTCATTTGGCTCGGAGGATCCTTCAACTAGATGGATAGATAGATAGAAGAAAAACACACGTGTGGCCTGCATCGTTTATTTAATATGCTTTCTCTTTGGCTTTTACAAGATGTTTTTCATTAGCAGTCTAGTCCAATATTTCCACCAAAGTCACATCCAATCGTTTTTGGCCTTTTAATGAATCTTTTTTTATTTACTTGAATTTTATTAGTGTATACATATGTGCAACTCTTTTATGATTTCCTCTACTTTAGTTTGCAGTTATTATCCGTTTCATTATATTGGATTAAGTGTGTCTCGACACTTGTCTTACAAAATCTTATTATTCGCCAAACTTAAATATAAAACGTACCTTATCCTCCGATTAGACATTGCTGTTGAACATTAAAACAACGAGAGGAACTAACAACTTATTGGAAATTATACAGAAACAGGTCACAAACTATTGGATATATATTTTGTTGATTTAAATTTAAATCATTTGGTGGAAATAAGTTTTAAGTTTTGAAAAATACCCAACAATTTGTGACTTTTGATGGGAAAAAATCAACAATTGCGGACGGCAGCAATTCCCAAAAACTAGGCGCTAATCAACTTAACAGGAAACTTGAGTTACATATTTGCGATTTGGAAACCAACCGATTCGATATGGAAGTTTCTGCCTGGCAATGTCCAATCCTTGAAGGTTTGGATAGCTCCTTCTGATCATCTCTTCTTTAAATCTATTTTATCCTCTTGTTTTTTGTTGTAATTGTCTAGTTAATGAGCCCAACTATCTAATAGAATAATGGGGTACAGAAGTTATGGAAAAATCCTATTAGTTAAATTCATATATGATACGATAATTGGCATTTAAACTAGTAAAATTTATGGGAATGATTATGGAAGACCGCTAATAACTATTAGAGTTTAACTTCTAGAAGCTGAGCATAGTTCCTTAGGCCCCTTAACTAGACATTTCAAAATTGTTGCATATCACTTACCATCTCTTTGCATTAATCGCGTGAATTTCTTTGAGTTTGTACCGCTGTTTGCATGGATCTAATGTCTTATACTAGGTATGTATATATATTTTGAACGTTAATCTTAAGGATAGTGCTAAGACGGCTGATCGAGCGGATCGTTAAGGGGGTTCAATGGCTCAATGCTGAATTTTGGATTCCCTTCCCTTGCAGCGATTGTGAGTTACATATATCGACAATTGAATGGCTTAGCTTTGGCTTATCGACAGGCTAACACTAAGACTAACTCTAAATGGCTGTGGCTCCAACTGTACAGGTTTATAATTCGAATATGCTTCTGTCGCACTAAATTGAGTATGGGTCTTACATAATGCGTGTGTAATTCCCATCCTTCCCTCTGTTATTGTACTTATTAGGTATTGTATTGTATGGTATTGTGTTCCGGGATATATAGAGTTTACAACGTAATTCTTAGGCCTATTTACTTGATAGTTGAAATGGAACGAAATGTCCTTGAATCGTATAATTATAACACAGATATGAACTGATTAGTAATTGCGGCTGCCTGGCTATATTCGAAGTGGGAGAAGCTTTACTAGTACTTGGTTAGGTTTAGTTTTAGTTTTAGTTGCAGGAATAGGAATACGAAGTATTCATCACTCGTTATCCGATATCTATTATCTGCTATAGTAAGTATTTCTATCCTTAGTAACATTCGAATAAGTGAAGAGAACGAAAGCTTCCATCGGCAATCGGATGTCTTAGTTTCTAGCTGTGCACGATTCAATTAATCTTAGTCTAATACTTCTTGTCCCGCTGATCTCTCGAGATTGCTCCAGTGTGCGGTAAACCAGCTCCAGATCCGTATATATCCTCAGATATTTAAAGCTTCCAATGATCCTTCTCCGTTTTTTCCGTTTCTGTCTGGTGTCTGGCACTTGGTGCCGCATCTACAAAGTCTACATGCAACCGTACTTGTCTGAGTCATCCTAATCCTCGTCAGCGGAACTCTCTAGAGTCCCCCGATTATGCCCAACTATGCCGATCTGGCCCATCCCCCGACCCAAGTTCCGTCCACGCCCGAGTACCGCAGCCCCGTAGCCCCCTTACGGGTATAGTTACATGTAGCTATTGCTTGTTTGTTATCCAATGTCACGGACGATCTCGATCTTGTCGCACAGCTCCGAGTCCGGGTCGTGGATGGTGGTGAAGTGGGTGCGGTCGCTGCGGAAGGTGTTCCGCTCGTTCGAGCTGCTCTTGATCGACCGCTCGGAGGGCGTCTCTGTGCCGCTCAGCTGGATGCGCTTCTGCAGGGCCGAAACGAAGTTCTGAAACGAGAGATTTATACATTCGATTTCAAAATTCTTCGAGATTATTATTTACAAATTTAGTTTAATTTAAATATTTTTGGAAATGCCACAGAAATTCCTTGGCTCTTAAAATCTGTTAATGTAAAAGTACTCATGTTAAACGCGTTTCAAATTCTTTAGATTTATTATTCAATTTTAGATTAATCAAGAAGAATGCCTATTCACTGTTAAAAGGATAGATATTTAAGACATGTATACCTATTAATTTAGTTATTTATATGGAAGTCTAAAATCGGTGGATTCAATCCAAAATCAATTCATTCACTAAACCATAAGGGTTGTCGAATATTTATAAAAATATGCTATCAATTTTATTTCTTTAAAAAAAAGCTGATAATATTACTTAAAAATAAATATATATTCAAAATATGGATAATTTGATATGGTATATACATATAGTAAACATTTAAAAAAAGGGTTTCAAAAGTCTAGTATTTTTTAGATTTTTTTCCTACTATAATTATATTTTCAAACCGAAAGACAATGAAGTTTAATAGATGTCCGAGTACTCTACTCACCTGCGATATGATGTCGCCGCGGGCCGTGCGCACCTGGTAGAGGTACCGGAACTTGCGCTGCCTGGCCTCCTCGCGCGTCTCGCGGGTGCGCGACTGGGACCGCCGGACGGGGGCGAGGGCGTGGCCCGGGCCCACCTGCTGCTGGCTGTGCGGCAGGTGGGCGTTGTGGGCGTGGCCGGGGTGGTTGTGGTGCCTCATGTAGACACGCTTGCGATGGTCGACGCGCCAGGCGGTGATGAAGCACTGCACCATGATGCTGAGGACGATGGTGACGGGCCAGGCGGCGATCAGGAGGCCTCCGTAGCAGGGTGGCGGCAAGGGATGCGGCCGCATTCCGATTATCTAAGGAGGTGAAAAAGATACAAAATTAAGATTTAAAATTTGTAACGGGTACTACTGATTAATTCAATTTTTTCGGATAAGTAAAAAAAAGCATTTGAGATAAACGTCTTTTAAGTTTTCACGTTTAAATTATTACACAGCAGAGATTAAAACTCAAATAACTTTTTTGAATTAATAAACCAAAAATCTTGTTTTTCCACCTGTGTCTCTAATGTAGTAACTCAGTGATACCTATAGGTACACAGAGAAAAAAAAGACCAAAAATAATCATCCATCGGGTATTTTTTCTTATCAATATTGGTCCCTTCTGTTTTCATATCAAAATGATATTTCCGAATATATGATTTTGTACCCTATTGATATAAAAACATACCATTTTGTTATAGAAAAATTGATCTGAAACAATATCAGTTCCATATTGTTCCGTATTTTGTATATAGATATAAAAAATACTCTTATTACTATTACTAGACCTTTACTTTATTTTATTAATTAACTATTAAATTCTTAATAGTTAAAGATAAATAACTTTTGTACTACTTCATGGAAACGTTTTGGATTTTTCAAGTAATTTTTTTTTGTTCTTAAAAATTTAAAAATCCCTATAAACCCGGTTAACACTTCCTTGTACTCACCCAGTTGATGGTCTCCAGGCCGTGCATGAAAAAGTCAATGGCGCTGAGGATCATGGCCGTGCCCACAATGCTGGAGGTGAGGATGGTCACGTACTTGACGCAGCAGAGGGTCAGCACGGAGCAGATGACGGCGCCACCCACGACGGCCACATAGATCTCGCGGTACTGCGAAGGGAGGGGGATTTTAATATATGATAAATATAAATAAATATATATTTTTTACCCCGAATTCGTTGTCCGGAAAGGTGGCCACGCACACGGCCATGGCGGCGCCGGAGAGCAGGGCGCCGGCGAAGGCGCTTATCAGCACGGAGGCCACCGGATATGTGGAGCCCAGGACGGCGCCCAGGAGGCCGGCCACAATGGCCAGCGCCGAGTCCGCCGGCTTGCCCAGGAAGGTGATCTGGAAGTCCTGCAGGATGAAGATCCCGTTGGCGCCGACCATCAGCCCGCTGAGGAAGCCCACGGCGCGGAGGCATCGATAGCCAAGCAGGGCGTAGACGATGCCGAATACGGCGAAAATGGCCCACAGGATGGCGGCCAGCGGTTCCGGGGCAGTGGGCGTGCACGTCTGGCCCTCGAGGATGCCCTGCGGGAGGAGGTCAAGAGGTCAGCGGTTACAGGGGTGCACGGGTTGCATGTGTTGGGCCACCCTAATGCGACCAAGGACACGACACACTTATCAAGGGGCCGCGACGATGACGATGGCGCCTTGGTTCCTGCTTATTAGCCACTCTAGCTAGTCATTAGCCACTCAAAAGCACACAAATTAGCACTTTGAGGATCATAAATGGTCCTTCGACCCATCTTAAATTTCTCCTAACTTTAAAATATGAATTAAAAATATTTAAACTATTTATACGTTAAGTTTTTTAATAATTAAAGCGAAAATATGGTAGATATCTTCTAAATTGATAAACAATATCATAAACATTACAACCTAACCTAAGAAAAATTTAATATCCTTAAAATAACATAATAATAACTAATTCCTGTTTACTTCGCCTGCAGTTGCATTTTAAAACCCGTTTAAAAACCAAGGGTTCAGCTTCATTTTCGTCCTCGCAGTGACAAAGCTATTGACACACAAACCCCCACTTATACACATTATACTCGACACTTTGCATATTGTCTCGACTTAACCTAAAAACCGTGCAAATATGTCGAGTGTGCGGGGAAAGGGAAAGGGGGAGGGGAAAGGGGCAGAGGGAGAGGGCTACGAACCTTGATGAGAAAGGGCCAGTCCAGGTGGGTGGTGCCCATTGAGTCCTCGCTGCCGCTGCCGTAGTCATAGACCATGTCCGCCGCCACCCTCATTTCGGCGGACAAAATTTTTGGCGGACCTATGGAACTGGGATCTGTTGTTTTTCCACCGGGAACTAAAAACCAGGAGTATATCCCAGTTGAGTCGATTCAATTGAAGGGCTTCTTCACTGGCACAAAACGAGTCCGCATTCCTGCACTGATTCGGGCATGGTTATACCTCCTACCCTTTTCCAAATAGGGCGGAGCACCTGAAAGTCCTGGGTCCCAGAATCCAGAATCCTCTCGCACCGAACACAACCGATATCCTGCGGCCAATTTACTACTTCAGGTATAGTATATTGCAGTACCTCAGTTATTAGTTTTCATTTTCGACTATTTCGCACTGCGACGTGGGATCTCTGGGCTCTCGTTACAATCGGGGCCAAGCCAGAATAGCTTGTGGTACAACAGGAAAACAGTGAAGCAGTCCTGCGGCCCAGACAGGGATGGCTACAGCTACACAACACAGCGATGTCCTGTCCGCTCTTGTGGGCTTCGAAGGACCAAAACAAAACAACCCCCGAAAGGCTGTGGCGAAAGCTTCGAAAGTTCAGTAGCTGCGAAGCTTCGCAACCCTGACCAGGTATATTTTGGTCCAGTTACTATCTATTACATTTTACACCCTTTAAAAGCTTCCACTAAATACTGATATTGTTGGAAATCCACCCATAAAACTATCCAAAATTATAGAAATAAATAAAATATTGAAAACCCTTAAAAGAAATCTCTAAATATTAGGTTTGTTTCTTGGGTAACTGGAATAGCTTTTCTGGTATTTGCGTAGGGATTTCTATTTAGGTTAACAATCTCCTACAATAATACACCAAAAAATGGGCGTGGCCAGAGTTTGACTCCAAGTTTTCTAAACCTTAGATATTTATTTACTTTACCATTTTTGTTTCAGTTCTAGAAATGATAAACAAAGTCAAAGGAAGAAACGAATTTTTGGAAAGGTCCATATATCATTTAAAACGAAATATTGAATCGAATTCTGAAGAATTCAATGATCGATTCGCAAGTCTTACCGATCCGAAACCATTTCCATTTCTAGAAACAGAAACAGGAACTGGAACGAATATCATTCTGCCATTAAGAAAACAATGCCTCGAGTATTTAGTGTGTTATGTCATACATTTTACTAGGACACGTACATGTACATAGATGCCGTGCATATGAGGGTTACAGAGTTTTGGAATGCGATTACGCAACGTTAGCCGGGGCGCAGATTTCGCTACCGTTTTACATACGTTACAGTACATGGAGGACATGCGGCTCCGATTAACAATTAACAGTTCTCTCGACAAACTTGATTGGTTTATAGGTGTGCATATATGCATAAATAATGTAATGTGAGTGGCGAAGTGGCCAGCACACAATATAATAATAATACGTAAATTACAATTTGTTTTGTTGAGCTAATCTTAAACGCCCGCAGAGAACCTCTAGTCGGCTCCCACATAAACTGATCGCTCCGATTGCTTTGTGCTCCTCGTCCGCCGTCCGACCATCTGACCTATCTGACCATTTATCCCCCGTGGAGCGCTTAGGGCGAACGGATGATGGCCTCGTAGGCGGCGAAGATGATGTTGGCCACCTCCACGGAGCGCGACTTCAGGCTGAGCGTGGCGTCCGGGTTGCCCGGCTGCAGCTTGAGCTCCAGCAGCACCCAGATGCTGTTGGTCAGCTTGAGCGACTGATACAGCATGTCCTGGCCCTCGACGTTGCGCTTGGCGATGGTGAAGATGTTGTTGGTGGTCATCTTGGAGGCGATGCCGTCGGTGGTGCCGATCACGCCGCTCAAACTGTACTGCAGTTCGTTGGCGGCTGGTATCTCCTTCCAGGTGTTGAGGAACACGCGCTTGTCCAGCTGCCCGTCCTCGGCGAACAGCACGTTGCCGTGCACCAAACAGGCGAAGTAGAAGATGTCGATGTTGTTCTTCACGGCCACCTGCAGGTTGTTGAGCGGCTCCATGCGCTGGATGGGTCCGTTGGTGCCCAGCGCCATGCTCACCTCGATGGACTGGTTGGGCGGCAGGGGAGCAGCTTGGAGGGGCGACGACGGCACCAGGCCGAAGCTGTTCTTGTTCAGCTGGATGGCGAAGTTGGTCATCGGCTGCATGGCCTTGTTGGTCAGCGTCATGTCCATGAAGACCTCGCCGTTGCGCCGCGAGAAGGTGCCCTGTATCTCGAGGCCCTTGCCCTTCTCCGCAGGCAGCCAGGTGACCTTGGGTATCTGCACGCCCGCCGACAGCGAGGCGCCGCCCAGGCCGAAGATGTCGCCCAGCAGGCTGGAGGCACCGCCGCCGCCGCCGGGAGCCGCCTCTGCCGGTGCTCCACCCAGCAGGATGTCCAGGCCGCCGCCCAGCAGATCCACGTTGCTGGTGGCCGCCGGGGCAGCGGGCATGGCTGGTGCATTGATGTCCATGGAGAGCAGATCGCCGATGAGCGACTCCTGGTTGGGTATGACCATGGCCTCCGAGCCGCCGGCTCCGCTCTCCGGCTGCTCGCCACCAGCTGCTGAGCCGGCGGCGCGATTGGGCAGCGACTTGCGCACGCCGGCACCGCGACCCTCAACAAACGCCGTGGGCGGCTTGTGATACACGCTGGCCAGCGAGCTGATGTGGCAAATGAGCTCGTCTAGGAGCGTCGGCTCCAGCAGGTCGGTCTCCTCCGAGATGAGCGGCTTGTCGGCCAGCACCACCTCCTTGGCGGCAGCCGGATCGGTGGACAGGAGGCGCCAGTAGATGAAGCCGCGGTCCCGCAGATCGGGGTTGTCCGAGTCCTGGGTGGCCAGCGAGAGGACGTGCTGGACCAGCTCCTGGGTGTCCGAGGGGCGCTTCAGGAACAGCTTGACGACGGCCGTCAGCAGCTGCAGCTGCACCTGGGCGTTCTCGTCCTGGAAAAAAGAAGGGGGAATTAAAAAACTGACTTAGTGCTTGAAGAGTAGGTTAAGAACCCACCTGGAAACCCTCGAGAAAGCTGTCGAGCAGCTCGTCGGCGTTGTCAATGCGCTCGGCGTACTCGCCAATGATCCAGACCATCGAGGCGCGCGCCTCCGGCTCGTCCAGCGTGTCCAGATTCTCGCAGAGCGTGCTGATGATGCTCTCGTACTTGTTCGGGTACTTGCGGAAGATGTCCTTGATCACCACAATGGCCTCCTGCACCACATAGTTGACCTTGGTCTGGATGAGATCGAGCAGCGTGGACACGCAGCGCTCGGCGGAGGGCTCCACCTTGATGGCGCATCGCCCGATGGCGCGCACCGCCTTGCGCACAAAGTCCACGTCCACCTCGGTGGCGTACTCCTTCAGCTCGCTGAGCACCTGGGCGATGTTGCTCTGGTTGGCCAGCCGTATCATAATGTCCAACTTCTCCAGCTTCACGTAGATGGGATCGTTGTACTTGACGAAGAACACCTTCATCTCGTGCTTGAGAATGTCGGGTCGCTTCTGGACAATCAGATTGATGTTGCGCAGCGCCACATACTGGACCTCGGGCTCCGAGGAGAGCAGCGTGACCAGTGGCGGGGCCAGCTTCTTGGTGAGCGTGGCGCAGAAGTCGCTGTCGCTGGACAGCATCTCGAGCAGCTTCATCAGCACCTTGACGGCGCTCAGCACGACGGCTGCATTGGCGTGGGCCAGCCGCGGGGTGATTCTTTCGCAGATGGACTGCGCCTCGCGCTCGTCCTTGGGACTGTAGTTGGCCAGCGAGTCCAGGATGAAGACCTGACCCCATTCGGTGCACTCGTTGAGCGCCGTCAGCAGCTTGTTGATGGTCACCGAGTTCATCTCGACCAGCGGCTGACCCGATTGGCTGGCCTCGTTGATCTCGCTGAGCGCAGCGACGGCATTGGCCACCACCATGGGATTCGAGTCGGACAGCAGGTCCTTCAGCTGGTCCAGGAAGCCCTGATCCTCCACCATGGTGGCCGAGATATCATACAGCTTGGCCACGCACACGGCGGCCGTCTTGCGAACGTAGGGATCCTCGTCCTTCAGGCACTTGCGCAGCGGTTCGCACAGATACTCGGTGATCTTGTCCACCCGGATGCAGCCCATCGTGCGAACGGCCAGAGCCCGGATCAGCGGATTCGAGTCCTCGCAGTCCTTGACGAACGTGTTCACCGCCATAATGGCCATGTCCGGCTGCGACTTGGCGTAGTTCATCAGGTAGAGGTAGACCAGCTTCTTCAGCTCCAGATTGTCCGTCTGCATGCAGTTGACCACGTCCGGGAAGAGCGCCGAGACGTCCTTGCCGACGGTCATGCTCGCAATCACCTTCTTCACCGCCTCCTTCTTCTTCTCCTTCTTGTCGTTGTTCAGCTCCGACTTGAGCTCGAAGATCTCGCCCTTCTTGGTGGTGGTGAAGTACTTGGAATCGGTCATCTCGCCTGATGATGCTGCTCCTCGCTGCGGGTGAGGGGAGAGAGGGGAAAGAGGGTTTCCGGTGGTTATTGATTGTGAGCTAAGCGTAGGGGGCCCCTTTTTGAGGGGGCGGAATCACCCAAATACCAACACACACACACACACACACTTGCCCCTATCGCGTATCGGCAGCTTGAACACGTCTCAAAAAAGGGCAGCGAATGGATTGGAATGGCTTACAGTGGATCACCGGAATTAGGGTTCCACCTCTCCACACACAGCTCACCTTTAATTACCTTTTAAATAATTAGTTTTCGGGCACTGAAAAAATTGTTAGCTTTTTTTTTCTCTCTTCGTAATTAGTGCGACCGTTCGCCGGGGAGTGACTTGGAAAATACCAACTCAATCGGTAGTTCCACTTCGATAGACACGCAGATAACCGGCTTTTTACACTGCACTTGCATTTTATAGCTGTGCTCCACTGGTCTTAGGTGATTCTGCATAGTAACGAATCAACTTGAAAATGGTTATGAGCAGCTTAAAACCTCCTTATAATTAATATCAGTTCACTTTTCGACTGATTTGAGAAAATTAATTTTTGATCCAATTATCGCATTTTTGGTAAGGGGTACCATCAGGATTTTTTGCGAAAAATAGGAAAAATTAAAAATTTCCAGGTTGAAATGCCAATCAATTGGGAATTTAATAACGAGTTCAACAAGGTATGACACACCATATTTGGATCATTATTTCCATTTTTATGACCAAAATACTAATTGTAAATACTAATTTTTTTGGGTGAAAAATCAGGATTATCATTTTTGGCAAAAAAATTGATTTTTTATTGTAGATTTGTTGCTGTAACTTGGAAAAAAATGGTCCCATATCAAAAAGGCGTACTGTTTTGTGCAGCTTACAACCTTATAATTAATATCAGTGCACTTTGCAACTGATTTGGGAAAATTAATTTTTGACCCAATTTTTGTTTTTTTTTAAGGGATACCATCATAATTTTTTGCGAAAAATGGAAAAAATTTCCAGGTTGAAATGCCAATTGATTGGGAATTTAATAACGAGTTCAACAAGGTAGGACACACCATATTTGGAGCATTATTATTATTTTTATGACCAAAATACTAATAGTAAATACTACTTTTTTTTAGGTAAAAAATCAGGATCTTGATTTTTGGTAAAAATTTGAAACTATTTTTATTCTAACAAATTTTTCGACCTACTAAAATTTCTAGCTAACTGATAAAAATTTAACGAGATGTAGTAAAAGGATAAATATTGTTAACTAAACATACATACATATGTACGTTTGGGCACCAAGTTCTTGATTAGAGTTATACAGATATTTGCACTACCCAAAGCTTTCCCAAGAAAACAGTCAGATTTGAATATCCTAACAATTTTATTTTTTTAATATTCTCAAGAAATATCATTTAATAAGTTATTAACACATAAAACAAATCAAGAGTAGTATTTGAATTAAAAAATGTTTGGTTTTCTTATATTTTAACATCATTTTCATTTCACTTTGGTTTGCTGTTTTTTTTTATCGATCCATTGAAATATATATATATATATATCATCATCATATCGGGATTTTCCCATATATGTTGTATATTAATAGTTGCATATTAACTTCATTCTCTCTCTACTATCTCATCACTTGTTTTCCGCGTTTGTTCTCCTCCCTTTCATCTTGTTTTTTTTTAATTTTTTAATAAATGAGTTCAGAATAATTTCAAAAATTTTGATGCTTCATTAGTAAAAGTTGTAAAGTTTGCTATTACACCTTAATTATATACACGTTTAAAATAAATCATATTCCAGTAATTCAGTCTTATGAAATAAACAGAAACTTAGGTACTTTATATTCAGCTGGAAAATCAATCAATAAGGAATCAATCGTCTAAAGCCATTTCCAATCAATCAAACAATCAAATGCGGATTATTTCCAGTTTTTTTATATATATTTTTAGGCTTGGCTCTTAAGTAAACGGTCTGCTTCGTTTTCGGAATTTTCATTCTCTTATTGCTGTTCTTATTGTTGTTCTGTTCCTTTTTTTGTGTGCGTGTCCATGCGTGTTTGTGGGTGCGAATAGGTTTTCCGTCACTTCCAACATTGGTTTTTCTGATTTTGATCTCATACCGCTTGCAGTTTCGATTGCAGTTACAGTCACAGTGAGCATAGACCTAAGAGTAAGTTTTATTCTCCGTTTGGGGGATTTAAAAAAGTACGGAAACAATATGTGGTAGTAAAATGCATACTTTTTGTTAACGGAAGCTTTTGGTTTTCCCTTCACACTTATCGATATATTGCACTTTATGTTGTTACTTGTTATTTCTTGGTTGTTATTTGCTTTAAATTGGAACTGTAGAAAATCTATTAAAACTATCATATTCCCATAACATTTATCTTAACTTGGTGGTACCGAAAGAACCGAAAGGTGGAAGAGCAAGCTGCTTCAGCCCGCAGTTACTGGATTGCCTGTACTGTAACTTGTGTCACTTTCCTACGAAGGTGACTGACATATAGATGTTACGGATGGTAACTCCTCTGAGCGCACACTCAGCAGACAGTTGGGATCCTTTTTAAACCTTGTATAGTATCAGTTAAAATAAATGAATAGTTTGACCCAACTTGGTAACGAAAGCAAAACTTGGGATGGGGCTGTCGTAATCGGTAATTGGTGATCGGGTATCGAAACTATCGGATGAATGTGGGCTCGGCGAGTTCCGCTATTTTTATATCTCAACTTTAAGCTGTGTGGTAGGATATGTTATTCTTTAGTTGTTACTTTTGTATCTGAGTTTCGTTTCCCTTTAGTTGCTTCACAAAAATATACATTCACGTTCTATGCTTCTTTTTTTTTTGGATTGGCCTGCCTGTTTTGATAGTGTGTATGTACAAATCGTGTTAGATCTAAGTTTCGAAAGGAATCAACGGAGTTGCGGTGAACAAAGGTAAGTGCAGGACCGTTTGGGTGGCACTATATCTTAAGTAGTTGGTCCGGAAAGCTCCTCTGCGAAAACCCTAATATTGAGTCGAGTAAGTGGTACATTTCGGTCCTAGGACTTACAATACGTATGTTTTCTGCTACTGGTTCGAGAAGTGCAAGGTGCATTGATTTGGCACTCGAAATTGAGGGGATCAACTGAATGGAATCGAAAGAAATCAGTATAAATCCAAATGAAAATGAAAATATCGAAATGTCTTAGACGGTACGTTTGTTTTGTATGTATATAAATAGTGTTCTTCTCTGTTGCGGGGCTAGATCGGATTCGGATCCGGATCGAAAGCTAGCCCTAGGTTATTGAGTTCTTGTTGCAATCTTTGATATTCGCTATTCGGATTCTTTCCTGTACAAAGTCGTGAAGTACAAAAGGAATAAATTATCATAAGTATTATTATTATTAAAAAGGTTGATTTCGCTTTAACTTTGCCATATACTTGTAATTTAGCTAAAAATAGTTATGCATGGTTTGCTTGTACATAGTATGTATATAAAGTGGAAAAAAGTATGCTTGTACATAAATGTTTTCAATTTCAATTTCATTATCATATTTGCTTTTGGTTTTAGTTATCATTGTGTTTATACATATTTGTAGTTATGCTTGCTTTGGTTTTATCCTTGGTTTAAGTTTGAATAGTTCAATAAATATTTGGTATTCTTTGGTATTTGTATTTGTCTATATGGTAATTTTTATAAATATATATGCATACTTGTATAATTTTTTCTTGGTATTCCATTAGTAAAATGAATTGTATTACAACGAATGCGAAATGCCGCTTAAAAATGAGTTTTAGTTTAGCGCGAGCTTCTAGAATAAAAAAGAAATAACATTCCGATAGAGTGAGTGAGACGGGACGGCCGTAGGCAGGGCGTACTGTACTGTAGAACCTCGTGTCCAGGCGCCTTATAAAATGCATAGCATAAATATGTAAACAACAATATAGAATCATAGGTACATAAGGTTAGTGTTCAAGATCGTCAGGTCAGTTTTCGAGAGTCCGTGTGTGAGCAAATCCCAACTTTATGCAAAGATCGTCTTCGGTCAGAGGGCCTATATCATTTGGGGTTACGAACGGCCTCCTCTGATCGTCTTCGGGGATCTTTTCACAGGTCCCGGGGTTTTTAGTTTATCGTTTTCCGGTTTTCCGTTCATCGTCTGTCTCTCTTTGGCGTGTGAGTGTGAGTGTGGGGGTGGTGGTGCCGAAAATGTACAGTTGTGCATGGTTAGCACCCCGACACCCAACTCACGGCCCGCTTAGGATATATCTGAAGAGTAATTCAGAAATATGCACTAGTATTATTGTGTATGCCTTCCTGATTCCTGTGCTGAAAGCCGATTGACCAACGTCACCCAAAACGCCTGCCAATCGAAGTTGAGCACAATCGTTCATTGGTTATCGGTTATCTCGGTTATCTGTTTGCTGTTTTTTGTTATCGGTTATCTGCCGTCTGTGGTTTTGCTTATCGTCTATCGCTTGGTTTCAAGGTTTGGGTAATTGGAATTTCGGCAACTTTGCACTGTAACTCTTTGCTGAACTAATAACCCATCGCTATATATGTAAATATATATTTGCTTGTATAATCAATATATATATATATATATGTGTATATATTATGTATTGTATATGGTATGGGGTGTATAACGGTGACCTCACTGGGGGTCGAACGGAGTGCAGTGAACAGTGACTCCGTCGCCCGGGGCACATGCCTTGTATACGGGGTATGCATCTGCAATTCGGTAACGACATCTGCAACACGCATCGCCATATGGTTAAACCTAACATCTCTAATCGTATTTACAAGTGAGTGTGAGTGAGCTGCACCCAGATCCGGAAAACTAGTCCTTGGGTTGCCATTCCTTGATGGAGCTTCACTCGGGAATCAGGGGGCATGGGGTTGGTGATAAGGAAAAGGGATTGGAACTGGGACTGGTATATATGTGAGATATCGCTTAGTCCTCCCACGTGGGGAACTGGCCCTCGTCCACGAACATGCTGAACTGCCCGGTATACTGGCGTTCCATCGGTGGCCCACTGCCCGTTCCCGATCCCGATCCCGATCCCTTCGCCTGGCCAGCGATCGGGGGAGGTGGAACCGGCCGGTTGTGGCCACCAGTGCCACTCCTGCCCGGTGGCTTCTCCGGCGCACTGCCATGTCCGCTCCTCGAGCTGCCCTGAGCCGATGACGAGGACGCCGTGGTCTTTCCGTAGTTGTAGCGTTGTTCTGCTGGACACAACAAATGGATTTGCATTAGAAAAATTAAAATATACTTGATTTTCGATTAAATAAAATTTTAAACAAAAAATAACTCATACGCCATGTTGCCTTCTGCATAAAAAAACACATCTATCTACATAAAACAGTGGTCTCTGCCGCTGCGCTGCTAGCGTTTCGATGCACACGTACGCTGTAAAGCAGAAAAACGTCACGCACTGTATATGCTTCTGCTTCTGCTGGCCACCACTGATATTTCTTCCTAACTGACCCCATATAATATGGTTTGGTATAAATAACTCTAATCCTAAAATTCTCTTCACTTACTCGAAGGCTGCTTCACCTCCTTGCTGGCCCAAACGGGTTCGTGGGTCTGGTTGTACGATTGCTGATCCCACACGGCCTTCTCCTCGACGTTTTTGCTCTGAAATCGGATGGGAAGAGGGCAAAGCAGATGGGATTAGGTTTCCCGATCAGCGGACAACACTCACATAGTCGACATGCAGCTCCAGATCGTCGCTGGTCTGCTCGAGGCTGCTGTGCGTGATGCCGTAGTAGAAGTACATGACGAAGCCCAGGGACATCCACACGGTGAAGCGGACCAGCGTGAGGATGCTCAGCTTGAATATCAGATAGATGTTCACGGTGATGGCGATGGCCGGGATGAAGGGGAGTCCGGGCGTGAGGAAGGCCAGCGCATATCTGATTCAGAATCGGATTTAAAATGGGAATCGAAGGATGAGAGATCGAGAGGGGGATGGTTTGGGATCGTGGAATTACCTATTCTGCGGCTGCCTCGATATAATCAATAGTATCACAAATATGCCGATAAACAAAATGAAATAAATGAAGGCGGCGAGGCCACCGGACCACCCAATGGCCGCGAAGAGGTCCAGGAAGAATATGAGACCGAACATGATGCCCACTAGCTTGGTGACGTACATGCCTGTTGATTGCGGTTTGATTTCGATGTTGATTGGATTGGAAAAGCAAAAGCAAAGAGTCAATTTCAATCGCAATTTTGTTTCTGTATTCACAGGAATGCATCTTCTGCAGGAGCCTAGGTCGCAGGATTAGTTTTGGGCCAGCCTTGTCCCCTTTCTGAGTGGGCGGATAAAGTTAGTTGCCCATTTTATAGGGGGTTAACTTGTACAAGCTATGAACTTAAGATATAATATGAAAATATAATAAAGATATAATAAATTATTAGATATAATAATATAATATAATATTAGATAAAGATATAAATAATATCAAATAAATATTAATACAATAAAAGATATAATATAATATTAGATAAAGACATAAGTAATATCATATAAATACTAAAAATTTTGTGGACGAAATTAGTCATAATAAAATAATTCACTTTACATAATTTTGTTCAAAATGTGTAATTAATATTTAGGTAATCATTAACTAGGTATACGAAATATAAAAGAGTCGAGTTATAAATAATAATGATGAAATATTTTAAATATATTCAACTTTATAGTCTTTATAGGGTTCAAATCTTAGGATCACAAAGGATTATCGCCCTACTGAGCAACAAAAGTGGCCCAAAACTTCAAGGGAAGGGACTCTACACCAAGAGAACGAGTACTCACCACTCTCGGCGGTGGCCTGGCCGGGATTTATCCAGGGAAAGAAGCCGGGGCACAGGTACGCGTAGTCGTGGATCTTCCGGGTGACGAAGTTCAGGCCCATGGCATCGAAGGCGGTCGCCTGGCCGGTGGGCCCGGTGGGTGCGCCATGCACGCTGCCGTAGAACTTGTTCTCGGAGCGATCGGAGACCAGGAACTGGTCGTCCCGCCCGCCCAGAAATCCCTCGGGGCTGTCGTCGATGAACGAGTCGTCCGAGTCGGACATGCCGCGCGTCACCCGCTTGATGGTCAGCTTCCCTGGCACCTCGAGCACCTCGGCGGGCGTCACATGCGAGCGGGAATCGCTGGCCGTTCCGGGCGCCACCGGGGTGCGCAGCTGGGCGGGCAGCAGCTCCACCAGCGAGGTGCTGTGCGGCTGGTAGCGCAGCACCAGCACACAGGTGGACACCAAAGTGTAGGCCAGCAGGGTGCCGATGGACATCATCTCGACGAGGATCTCCAGGCGCACGGTGAGCGCCACCAGGGCGGCGGCCACTCCACTGCCAATGGTCGCCAGTCCGGGCACATTGGTGCGCTGCCACAGCTGCGATAGTTGTCTGGAATGGTATACGATAATCTCTGCATTAAACCACATATCTCCTATAAGGTGAATCACACTCACCTGAAGATCAAGCCATCCTGGGCCATCGCATAGATGACGCGCGGCATGGGGAACATCGAGCCGAACATGGCCACCGAGAGTCCTGCGGTGGCTCCGATGGCCACCACCGCCCGGCACTTGGGGGCATTCACGTAGGACCACATCTGGACCAGCGCCGCTCCCGTGTTGATGTGATCGTAGGGAACTGGGAACAGGAAAGGGGAAAATATAGATTATTTGATATATTTAAATAGTATAATTTACACAATTTCAATGGGTCATATCAACTAATATAATCAAGCTATGTATACCAAAAATCTGGCATTATTTTATAATTTACAGAAAAAGAATCTCACATTAAAATCTAACTTAAAAAAGCCCTATCAAAAATGTTAACATAAATAAAGAAATATTTCAAAAAATGTAAATCATAGATTTCCTATAGTTTTCTTTTATCAGTAAATTTTGCTACACTTTTTGTAACCCTTTAATCCCATTAATCATTACTCGCACTCACCCACTAATGTTAGGACTAGACTAACGCTAACGTAGGCGATTAGCACGACGACCAGGGAACCAACGATCGCCTTCGGAATGCTCTTCTGCGGATTGTGCGCCTCCTCGCCGGTGGTCGCGATAATATCGAAACCGATAAATGCGTAGAAACAGGTTGCAGCACCGGAAAACACCTGTTGGAAATGAATAATCGGTAAAATATCTTAATGGGTTTGAAATCACTTTAAAATGTGCCCGAATGTATGCTACGATTTATTTTGTAAATGCTACACTTTTTGCAGCATACTTTTGGGCACCTTCATAATATATCAACTGGTTTAGAATCGGTTTAAAATGATGGATTACTTACACCACTCCAGCCGTAGGGCAGGAATCCCTGGTGCTCCGACCACGTCTTCGTGTCCACGTAGAACAGCCCGGCGGCCATTACGAACACCCACGTGGCCAGGTTAACGGCGTTGAGGGAGTGATTGAAGATGACTGACTTGCTGGCACCCATCGCCAAAACGCAGGTCATGAGCAGCGTAATGCCGAAGGCAATAAAGTCCGGTGGTTTACCTTCGAACAAAAGATGAAGATAAAGATATAGATATAGAAATCGCAAGTGTCCTTAGTACTCACCGAATATCGTGCCGATGGACTCGCTTATCGTTCGCGCTATGGCATTGCCGGTCAGGGAATCGAAACTAGAACTTAACGCACAGGCACAGGCACTTGTTCCTGTCCGCAAAAGCAAGCACAGTCAATATAAAGGGGTTCTCTACATAAAACTAATTTATAGAAGGAGTACTCACCTATTAGATATTCCAATATCATGTTCCAACCAATTATAAAAGCTACGAATTCTCCAACCGCCACATATGAATACATATAGGCCGAGCCGGATGTGTGTGGCACACGAACGCCAAACTCTGCATAGCAGGCGCCTGTGGGGCATTAAATATCGGAATCGGAATATATATAGGATCCACAAAGTGATCTTAAGGGAAATCAAATGAAAGACTGGACCAAAGAACAAAAAAAAGCCAAGGCCAAATGTTCTCAAAATTCAACATCCAATCATTAAAAAAACGTTCTTGATTTCAAGACAAAAAAACCCTCAAATTTGTTTTACAAGATAAAATGATGTGAAATAGAGATGAAAAGAATCTTGATTTTGATTTCAGTACTGCAAATTGAGGAAACTTCTATAATTTCTATAATAATTACAATTAACTTAAAATTGGTCCAATCAATCAGTTGACTTTAGGAGGAAGCAGCTCGCTTACCTGAGAAAATACTCGCTATGGCGGCTATAATAAAACTAATAATCACTCCGGGTCCGGCTATCTTCTGGGCCACCATGCCGGCCACCAGGTACATGCCCGTGCCGCAGCAGGAACCGATGCCCAGCGAGGTCAGGTCCAAGGTGTTGAGACATTTCTGTGGGTTAATAGATTGAGAGGGGATCCTGGAGAAGAGAAGCTAGCCTATCTCACCGTTAGCTTGGGCTTCTGTGGCTGTGCGTTGCCGTCCTGCAGCTGCTTCACGTCCTTGGTGCGGATGAGCTTGGGCAGGAGCGTCGTCGAGCTGACTCCCGGCGGCAGAGGCACCCTGAACTTGACCTGGAATCGGAGAGTGGAGAAGAGCAGGGCAGCGCAGGAGCACAATTAATTCGAGGACCAACGTTCGAGCAGCTGCTATTGAAAGATGAGTGCCATCGAGGAGGCCAAAAGCCATCGAACCACCCACTGATAATCGATGTGAGAAGTGGGAGGGAAACTGAGGGAAAAGAGGTCCTGGCAATCGATATTTGCAACAAGTTCTGCCTGCCCTTGCAACCAGTTTTTATACACCCAAAAAAACACATCCAAAAACACAAATTTAGGTACTCAAATTTAGATTTTTCGTTTAGTGAAAATCATTTAAAACTTTTTTGTTAACTTTAAGATTATCTACAGCTCAATTTGTCAATTTATGAATTTCTTACTTTTTTTTGTTTATAAAAAATATGTACATATATTAATAGGTAAAACTTTTGACCAACAAAAAGAAAGAAAGATCGCAAATATAAGTGAAACTTTAAGAATATCTAGAGCAGCGGTCGGCAGCGTCCTATTAAGTGAGCATAGGGAATTGCTCTGCTCACACGCTGCCCCTCACGGACACTGTAAAACAGCGGTCTGTACACACACATCAATGAGCTGCCCCGTGCAAATTACTCACACAAATATAAAACAAAATGTCATCGTATGTGTGTGCCGACCGCTGATCTAGAGGCACATTTAAGTGCCATGTATTAATTTCAACAATCTTAGCTCCCAACAGATTTTTAGATTTATTATTTCTTGAAAGTCTTGGCTGTTGTTATAAAAATACCTAACAAATTCCTAAAATAATTAAATGTTCTTTTGCAAGCACAATTTTTTGATTTCAAAAGGAAAAAAGATTTCCATATTTTCTATCCTTGACTTTTGGCACACACATAAATAATAATTCATTTAAAATCACCATAGATTGAACTGGAAATCGAACAATTAATAGCTTGCTTAGAGCGAAACAGTTGGCGATTCAAACTCCTGCAGACTCGCTCCACAACTGATTGTGATTCCTGTTCTCGGCGCCAAAAGGAGGAAATGGCCCGTAAAGAGGACCTCGTTGCCTCTGCATTTCAGGAAGAGCCTTTGATGTCAGCCGCAGTGGCCGACATTATTTGCTCCCCATTTGCTATCCCAGTTAAATGCCATGTCAGCGGGTAGGCAGTCGACCGCAGATGCGTCCACGAGATGCCTCCACCATCTGCCCTCCACCTCTCCACGAGTATCTCCATACGCCCCTGGGAAGCTCTGTGCTCTGTTCTCAGTGCTCTATGGTGGCGGTATACAAAGTGGGAAAGTGGGTAAGTGGGTGCGTGGGCGCCTTGGCTCAGTTCCGGGAACTGGAAACTGGAAAAAGCATCTAGTCCTTGACGCAATCAAAGCCACCCGGCAGTCGCTGCATCCTTGTTCTCTATATTCCATGTTCTATATCCCATGTGCAATGTTGTCGCCAACGCTCCAACCTTTGTAACCCAATGAGTACCCTTCAAAGTTTAAAGTTCGCAACATACAGAACATCTTTATACACCATATAGAATTGATTATTCCAAATATGATATAAGGGTATTCCCGCTTCGACTCCACAGACCTCTTCTCTAAGCTTTTCTGTTTTCCGCTTTCATTTTTCCTTTAACCATTTGGCGTTATTAATGGCTCGCAAGTGTCAGGGGATGAGCAGAAATTGCAGTGTGACAGCAGCACAAAAGGTCACCCCGCCAAGAAAAGGGGCTGGACCCACACATCCTGGGGGACCATAATCTCGCGGGGCAGTCCTGCTGGCCTTGTTTGCGAGATAAGCCAAGTTCGAGTGGGGAGGGAGGTGTCTACAAATAGAAAATAATTCTGCTCCTGAGAGAATCTTCTGCACGGACCAAAATATAAATAAATCAATTTTTGGGCTTGGTATGCTCAGAAAAGGAAAAGCTAATACAAAAGATTAACTGAAGTCATACTTAAAGAATTAATTAACGTATTAACATAAATTAATACTGATTCCTCTAGAATAGATTCGTTTTTATAATAACCTCAAATTTTTTCACATTTCACCACTCTTTTTTCGGTTATTTTAATGGAATACAAATGGATATGTAAGAATTTCAATTTATACACGTTAAGTGGGCAAATTTGTTCTCTTTTTTCTCAGTGTCTCAGTGTGTAGCATACTTTTTGGGCGGCTAAGCTGGTCTTGCAGCAGTCACACACTGCGTATGAGCGATATTGTCATAACAAAGCTCAGGCTCTCTCGCCATCCCGCTCGCACCTAATCCTGGCCAAAACACATGCTTCTGGGAGTGGGATTCCCGGATTTCAAACTGGGAACTGGGGCACTTGGTCTAGAGACTCAGCGGCTCCAATTACAGATGCGGCTGTAAAGGGCCAGCGCAACAGAAGTGGCAATAAAGATAACGCCGAGCCAAAAAAAACCCCTCCTTTACCATCCCTTTTTGTGGGTGTATTTTATTTTGGATTCTTTTTTGTTGTTTTTATGCTTTTGGCATTGAAGTTTAGTGGTTGCTGTTGTTGTTGTTGTTGTCTATGCTCGTTCGTCGATTACTTACTCGTCCGTGTGTCTGTGTGGGTGTAAAGTGGAGAGCTTCTTCGTTGTCAAATGGATTTGCATAAGTCCACGGAACACCACGCACACACACATGCTTTCGCTTTCGCCATCTCTATGTGTGTGTGTGCGTCGGCGTTCGGCATCATAATGACCTTTTTGAGGCATACCATTACAACGGAGCCCCATTAACACACGCACACTGCGTGCATGTATGTTTGTATGCTATGTGTGCTATGTATGAGAGTGTGTGGGTGAGGGGGCTCCAATTTTAGCAGTGACCAAAACTCTGTGTCAGATTCAGTGGAGAAATAAAAATACACTTTTCATTTTAGAGGGGAGGGGGGTTCCAGGTTTGTTTGTTTTTGCTTTTGCTTTCTTTTGGTCTTTTTTCGGTTATTTCGATTTCGTTTTTCGGTTGTCGCCTTACCTTCTCTAGCACCAACAACAAATCCGACGGCTTCATTTCGCTTTTGTCTCTCGGCCCTCAACAGTTACTAATAAAAAGGACAGCACTTCGTTTCGTGGGGTGGTGGTGGTGGTGGTGGGCGGGGGTGCTTTCTGTGTGTGATGATGGTGGAGAATTCGGCGATTGTTGCACTTAAAGGGTCCTTCCGCTTCTCCGGTTCTCAGGTTCTCCGCTTCTCAGCTTCTAGTGCTTGCTTTTTGCTCGCTCTCTCACTCGCTTTTTGTCCGTTATCCGTTGTCCGTTATCCTTAGACTTATCTCTATGTGGGGGAGCGGCGGCGCTGCTGGCTGGGGATCCTGGCTGTTGTTACCGTTACTGCTGCTGTTGCTGCTTTGTGCTTCACATTGATTTTTGTCAGCAGCGTCATTCTATATTCAACAGTTTACGGCTGAAGGATCCGCGCCCGTTGATTCTGCTCGTACTCGTATTCAATTTTCACTTTCGGTTTTTCGCCAGCACTGTCACTGTCACTTTCTCTATCTCTATCTCTATCCCAACCGCTCCTCTCCTCTCCTCTCCTCTCCTGTTGTTGCGCGCCTTCGCCTTCGCCTTCACGTGGCCCCAACACACACGCACATACGCGCACACTCGTCTGTATATGTGGGTATATGTATACTTGTATCCTATATCCTTTTACCGTTACCGTTTACCATTTACCGTTGCACGCACGCACGCACTGCGACACTCACACACACTCACACACACGCGCGCACAGAAACAAAAAGTCAAATGGCAATGTCTTCTTCTCCGAGGGACTTGCAGTCAACATAAATACATATATATGGTTACTATTACTTTCTTTTCTTGGCCACGTTTCTTGCCAGGCGGTCGAGCTTCTCGCCTATTCGGTATTCGGTGAATGAATGCCAGCGATTTTTCCGTGTGTATCACTTTTTTGTGCGGAGCGAAGCAGCGAGTTCTTGTTCTTGGTTCGCCTTCTGGCCCGCTCCTGCAGAAGAGCTTTCGTCCTTACAGCATTTTACATGCGTGCGATGCGGCGAATGGCGAATGGTGAATGGTTAAAGGCGAAAGGCTAACGGTAAACGACGATCTGGCAACGCCGCACAGCACAGCAAGGAAGTTTCCTGTATCTATAACAGAGTTGTCCTTCCAAAAAAGCTACAAGTTACCCGACTTTCGATTTCGATTTCGCTCTCTCGCACCCACACAAGGACACAACCTCTCGCTCTCCTGCTCTCTCGCACGCACTAAAGTAGGCAACGGAAAGTGCAAGCAGCGAGCGCGCAGACGCACCCCCCACCCCCATTGCTCCCTCATATGTGTGTGTGTGTGCGGGAAACGCTCAAGGATATGCAAATACACACACACATTCCCCAGAGGCGCCGCTTTCATCGGAATCGTATTGTGTAACGGGATTGAGCAGCATATGTGTGCGCACCTGTTAACTGCTGTTTGCTATTTACTGTTACCTGTCCGCCGCCCACCGCCCACCGCCATTTGCCATTCACCGTTCACCGTTCATCAAAGGCAGCAGGCAGTTGCCGCTTATCTGGCATCGCAATTAAAGTCGCTCAAAGCTCGCCCATCAAGCAGGATAATGCCCACTAGATGGCGCGCCTATCTAAAGGACTTTGAGTCTTGAGATTTTGCACTTGCGAGGCGCACCACAGGATCCGACATCTTGAGGGTCCTTGTAGAATCGTAACGATTTAATGTTTGCTTTTGATTTAAGCGATTTTGTATTTTTTTACAATTTGTCAAAAATTATAATAATAGATTTCCATTTAAAATTCAGGGGGTGAAAAATAAACCTTATGTAAAGTATGATGATTTTTCAACGATACTGAAATTTTCCAAGTAATAATAATGGTATAGTAATTTAGAAGAAATGAAATATACATAGCACTGTAGGATACAGACTTCCGATCTCGGCTGTTTCGACTTATGAACTCCCTGCAATAGAACTTTAACAAAGAAAACAATCCCAAAAGTTCAGCTATTTTGGTTCCCAAGATATTCTTTAACCAAAAAAAAAGAAGAAAAGTCATGGTAAATGGATCTTCAGCAGAATCTAAATAATCCTATAGTCCCACAATCACTCAAATTTTCTATGCATCATAATTTGAACACTTTCGAAAACGTTACAAATCGCATTCCAAACACAATACCCATGGTATATGTAAAACAGTATGTTCTACCCCCGATCCCAATGGCATTGCCAAGAATCCGGTGGCGCAGACTCATCTATGTGGCCGTATGTCCGTATGTCTGTATCTGTATCTATATGTCTGTTTCTCGGAACGTTGCAAGTATCTCAGTATCTTTGCGCTTTATAGCTATTGGTTTTTGGTCGTTTGTTGGCTGCCGCCTTCCGTTTTGAAACAAAAATGAGTACAAGGGTTATTTTTAGAACTAAAATTTTCTTGATTTTTACTCGTTAACATTGCTTACGCTCCGTTCTGTAGTTGCTGTCCGTCCGTCTGCAGCCGAACCCCCCGTTCCCCCCACCCCTCCCCGTGCTCGAAATTTCCTCCGCTGGCGTCACGATCGTGAATGTAGCTGTAGCTGTAGCTATAATCTGTATCTGTACGTCTGTATGTGCATCCGTAGCGGTATGCCTGTATCTGAATCTGAATCTGAATCTGTTTCTGAATTCGAATCTGTTTCTTTTTTTTCGGGTCCGGTGATCTTCAGCGTGGACTGTAAGATCTTTCCTCCCCCAATCCCAATGGCAACTTAAGTAACATTAGTTTCAATAGTTTCAGCCCTGCACCACTCATATATGTAAATAGGAACATGTGTGTGCACTGGGAATAAATTTGGACTTTTCGAACCGTATTAAAATTTAATGGCTTCAAATGTTTTTGGGAATAATTAAAATTAAATTGTAATAATTTTTTCAGAATTATTATATCTCTTTTTAAAGAAAATATAAAAAAGAATAAAAAGAATATATAAAAATATATAAAAAGAATATATAAAAATAAAACTCATATTAGATGTCTAATCTTAACACACTTTTGCAATTTAACAGTTATTAAATATCAATTATTGTACAATGTATTATATTGATAATATTATATCTATATCTTGAAAATACAGTTTTTTTTTGTATATCCTGTACAACATAGTACATGTAAGTGTCGATTTTGTTAAGTGTGCGCCATGGACTGACAGATGTTCGGATGAGTGAGTGCATGTGGCCGATTTACATGGGATTGGATGCGATGCCTTTACGTTTTACACACTGCAATGGCAGCAGCAGCAGCAACAGCAGCAACAGCTAAAGCACCACCGGCAGCAGAAAGATCTCCTCTCGAGATCAGCGGGGAACGTTTAACGAACGTTTTTTGCCAATGACAGCCAGCGACGAGAGTATGTACATAAGATTTATAGTTGCTATTTTTAAAGCGGCGTATTAAGAGCCGTAGACTAGGGACCAGAAGCAGTCTACTACCACCGATCCCGGCCGATGCGAACGACCATAATAACACTCGGTTCGAGGGAAGTAAGGGGAACTTTACATGTCTGCCTTTCGGGGGTCTTGGGATGGGGATGTTGTGGGTATTGGGATGGGGGTTGTTGAACTCGATAATATTGACTGAAAACTGGAGCAAGCTATACGGAATTTTGAATGGATTTATCCAATAATTCTCGATAAATCCCCATTTTCGTGACTTATGTATTTTTTGATAAAACCATAGAGCTAATTACATTTTAAATAACAAAATAATAGGTATATAAAATATTATACACTATTCGCCGAGCCCCTTTTTTTATTTGCGGTTCTCAAGAACCGGAACCTAGAAATACTGAACATTTAGTCTCTTCAGACTATTTCTCGCAAGAACTGTTGCCTTTTCTACAGATGATCGGAGTCTCAAAGCCCCGACCGATATTTTCCAGTCGGAGACCATATATTTTGATATGCATTGGGTGCTTCTAAGCACATGCAGATGTATGCACTACTATCGAACGGTCGAATGTCTATAGGCAAAATCAAAATTAAAATCAAAATGAAGGCGGCCGTCGTTATTTGGTTTCGGTTTTGGTTTCGGGCACCTTTGACACCTCTCCCCGTTTGGCGATTTTCATTGATTACTTTTGTTGCGCCTGACTCACGTTTCTATCGGATCGATCCATCGATCAACGATCACTTTCCAAGGCATTTGGACATGGAAAATGCCCTGTGCCTCACTCTCGTTGGAATTGGAATTGGATTTGGAATTGAAATTGGAAAAGAAATTGGAATGGAATGGTTCGGTTTGGTTTGGGCGGCGTTGCTGGGGCCGTACAAATTTTACTCACGGCCCCACCGTTATTTTTAATTTTTAGTACATATACCACACAGAGGCGTACACACATACGCACGAATACAGGCAGACTAACGTATGCTCTGGCAACGATCGTATTCTATTTGTAATCCAAAATAAGTGTACGTATCTGTAGCTGTATCTGCATCCGAACTAGAACTATGTGGTTCGCTTTACGATCTCTCGTTGCCCGTTGCCCGTTTCCCACTCTCTTTGCCACTCAGCCGGCGAACGCTTTTCATCTGAATGTCTTCTTTGTGCTTCGTATCGAGGGTCTGTCAGGGTCTTGAATACTGGTACTGGTAGTACAGCCTACACACTCTACAAGTCGAAATATTTTCCGATCTGGAGCGACCGGCATTTCGTCAGATCGCCCGCGTCGCACGTAGTTCCGAATTTGGAATTTGGGCGCTTAAATCTCAGGCGCTAGCACAAAAGTTGACTTGCTCAGCGACGTAGTTTCGATAATCTCTAAACGCTCCAATAGAAAAATTAAAAAAAAAACATTGTTAGGCGGGAGCGGGGTTATCTCCGACCCAATGACTTATCACTGTAGCTTGGTAGTTGGTCCGTAGACTCGACTCAGTTCCGATCTCGGAACCAGAGGCAACCAACTTTTTCGTAAGACTACTTTTTGATTACAACGACATAGGAACTACAGCCAAACTTCACTTCTATTATGGGTCTTTTGTTCTGCGGCCAAACTGAGTTTTGTTTTCAATCCATGATCAAAACGATTAAATACCCTTTCATTTCTTAGCTTTTAATTGTACCCTTTAGGGGCATCACTTTTTGAACTTAAAACAATGCCAAACACACACGGGATTGTATAAATTTATGCTAAAGAATTCACGAATTCTTTGTTATGGTCAATTGTTCTTAAGCTTAAATGCACAAAATCGAGCTTTTAGTTTCTTACACTGATTAAAATAGGAACAATGGATTTGCGGGAAATCTGAAAACTAATGTGAAAAAACTTTTTTTCTTTATTTTTATTTATAATCTGTCAAGACAATCACCGAATTTTATTGTCAGAAAGTAATGAAATAAGTCTAATGGATTTAAAGTAATAGTTTTAGGAACAATGGTTGATGGAAGAGATGGATGAAAGGTGGATTTGATTTAGACTTCTTAGGCATTCGTTGTTTTTTAACAAGGTGATGCTTCTTCTTATACCATAGAATTCTAGTGTCTGTCGTGGATTTCCCCTCCAATAATGTATAGATGTTTGTTTTAATTTCAACATTAGAATGAAAATTCTATCATCTATTTCTGTATTCTGTTTCCCAAGACGAACTCCAAACATAAGACGACACTCTACATTCTAACATATGCTAACCAATAAGTCACTGCAGTTGGTAGTTGGTATCCTGCTGCGATTTAACCAATGTCCGAGATGCAGTATGCAGTTCAGCTGCAGAGATCATCAACCCAAAAGCCAAAGCCAAAACCAAAACCAAAACCGAATCCGAAACAGAAGCCAACGCCAACCGATCGCATCCACTTGGGGTGCCCAGCATACTGCAGAACATACTTACTTCTATATTTAGGCTACGACTTTTCCCATTTGGCCCTTCATAGATCTAGATCCATCTCCATCTTTTACCACGCCATACCATCTCATCTCATCGCATCCCGAAGAGAACCGAATCGAATCGAATCGCACCGAACACATTCACAGTTCGCAGTCGGGGGAAGTATGGGTGTAGTAGGTATAGTACAGTTCTAGAGTAGGAATCGAATCGGAGTAACTGCTTCCCTCTTCGGATTGTGTGGGGATCGTTGGAATCTGCTGCCTCCTCCTACCCCTCCCCCTCCTCCTCCTCATCCTCCTCTGCCGCCGTAGTCACCGTCTCTGCCCGATTCTATAAGTAGACACATGTATGTACATATTCGTGTATATTTATATACCCCGCTCGATGTGTTTGTAGCACACATGTGCACCCCAGAAGGCATCGCCATCGCCATCGCATCGCCATCGCCTCTCCGCCGCAATCTACCAGGTTAGAGCAGAGCCGTCCCGTTTCGTTCCGTTCCGTAATGTTCCTCGCCCGAGGAGCGATCGTCCGCCTAACGATCGTAGCGGTCTATATGTGTATGTATGAGCTCGGGCGCCTGTGCGTGTGTGTGTGCGACTGCCGTTAGTATCGGCAACGGGATCGCAAACAAAAAGTTCAGTTTCAGTTTCGTTGTTGTTTGGTTTGGTTAGTTTTAGTTGGTTAGTTGGAATCTCAGGACGGCGGACTACCGGACTACGGAGAGACGGTAAACGGTAAACGGTAGTCGCGTTGTCCGGCGAAAGCGAATCGAGCGTCATTCTCTCTCCTTTTTTTCTCTCAGTGCAAATGCAGGTCAGCGAAAGCTTCTCGTGCGTGAGTGCTAGAAAGGGAGAGACAGAGAGAGAGAGCGAAAGAGAGTCGTGAGTGGCGTGTGTGAGAGTGAGAGCGCGAGACAAGGAGGATCTGCAGAAAGAACAAGAAGAAGAGCACAGGGACGTGAAATGCAAACGCGAATGCACCCGTAAAAAAGAGCTTAGCTCTGGTGGAAAATAGTGAAAGGCACTAACCGTAAACTGTAAATGTTCGGACAGGCCGGATATTCGTGAGTGTGTTCGCAGGGCCATGTGCATCTGATTTCGTGATTTACTTTTTTTCTGTGTTTCATTTTTTTGTTTTTTTTTCTTTTTATTTTGCGTGTTTTTGTCGACGTTGCCGTAGCCGATGAGCCGCCGTCTGAGGCTAAAAGGTTAACTTCTAAATATTAATAGTCGTTGTCGGTTTGTTGTCAACAACAAAATGCGAGTAACGCCAAAAACAACAAAGAGCAAGTTCGAAAATCGCGTTCATTCGTTTATTCCGATTTTATTTTGTTGTTTCGTGCGCCCTTTTTGTTTCGTTGTGATCCGCTATTCTTAATTTTTTTTTTTTTTGACAGACAACCCACTATTTACCGTTAACTGTTGCAAGGGTTACATTGCGTTCACACAAGTTACATACATTTGAAATGCAAACGCCGCAAGAACGCAGCATCTGTGAAAAGAATAACAACAACGAACAGAGGAGCCGCAAGAGCAGGAGAATCCGCCATTAAAGCACTCGGAAGAATCTGAATCTGAATCTGAATCGAGCGCGCAGAAGAGAGAAGAAGAGAAGAAAGACAAGATCCCGATCGCAGCGTTGCGCCTCCTCAGCAGAATCGGGGCATCAAGAAGCTGCTGACACAACAAAATTCTCAAATGGTAAGCAGCTGGGAGATCAGCTTCCAGGCAGATAACGCTATGGATTAAAAAAAAAAACTCGGAAGTGCTGCAGATCCGATCGGAATGCCAAAGCCTTTGCATGGATTATCTGCAGCAGTGACAATTTGTGGATATCTGTGAAACAGCTCTTAGTCATCATCGATCTCTTCTCTGCTGAGGAATATGTATTTCGTAGAATGTAGCACGGTCATGAATGAGTTTTTACCAACAGCATGATACACAATCGGTTCTGGTATAAATCACAATAGCACTTCCATGCCCTGAAAAAGTCCGAAAGCCTCTTTAGTTCCACGAATATCGACAGATAATTAGAAATTCAGGTTCATGCTGTAAAATAAACATTATGTACACATTAATTTTAAATAAATATTTACTTGCTGAATTCAAAACTAATTGCGTTTTTAGTGTTGCTAGAGAAATATAAATTAAGTGTATAAGTTGATAAAGAAAACGATTTCAGTACTGTTTGTTCTAACTAGTTGTCAATAGCTGTACATTAATATATTCTGCAGTATAAGTATGCATTGTATATATTGGTCATTTACCGAAATACATTCGTTAGCAAAACTTTGTGTTTTTTAATAAAACTGTCATATGTAAATTTGGTGATTTCCTACTTTTCGATTTGCTTTCACATATCATTATCATCTGCATTTCAATAGTGGATTATTTTTAAGATTCCAGGGAAACTGAATTAGGTTATACAAATATTTACCATATTTTATTTTGTTCAAGAGCATTTCCTACGTTTGTGGAACGTCCTTATCTCCTAATATATTTAACATAGGATTGGTATGGTATCTCACATATTTCAGTTTATAAAGTAATCAAGCTGAAAGGTCTAGTCACAAATTTTGAAAATCCTGTTAGTTCCTATGATGTTCAATAGTAACATCATGTTTTTGACTATAAATATCTATAATTAATTTTTAAGGTAAAACGATTTTATCGGAATGTTACACGTTGAGAATTTTTCATGAACGGTGCACTTAAATTGAGAATTTTCTACTCAAAATAAAACCAAGTACTCACTTTAGGTACAAAATACTCACTTTCAGTACCAATTTTTTAAATAAAATGCCTTGGAATTCAGTCTTTTTAGAGATTTTTTTCTCAAAAAACGGGGACAAATAAGAGAGAAACAACATGGTGAATTAAAAAGGGCTTCTTTTTTCAAAATTTGTCCACAAAATCAGTATTTACTCAAATTGAGAATACAAATACTTAATTTGAGAACGTCAGTCTTCTTGAAAAATTTTCTCTGTGTATTAATATATAGTTTAGCACTCACCCACTCTCCTTTAACTGATCCCCGCAGGAGACGAAGAATCCCCCGCCGGTGACGAGCAGCTACCACCACCAGCGGGCGCCGCGCACCCCGGAGTCGTACTTTAATGTGCCCGAATCGGTGGCGCTGCTGAACATCGTCAAGTCGGAGCGCATCCAGAGCGCCTTCCAGTCGAACCGGAAGAACCATGCCAGCGTGTGGGAGATGGTCGCCGAGGTGCTCAACCGCTTCAGTGCCCGCAAGCGGACGGCCAAGCAGTGCTGCAATCGGTACGAGAACCTCAAGAAGATCTACACGCAGCTGAAGAAGAACCCGGAGCGCCACGTGCGCCGCAACTGGCCGTACATGTTCCTCTTCAAGGAGATCGAGGAGCAGCGCGGCGAGTGCTGGGGCTCCAACGGCAAGCGGCTGGCGCTGATCTCCAAGAACCACAACGAGCTCTCCTACTACCAGCGCCGGCGGCAGGCGGCCGAGCTGGGGGTGCTGCTCAACAAGGACAACCTGACGCCGCACCAGCACAGCCTGCTGCAGAGCCTCAGCCAGAGCCAGAGCCACTCGCACGCCCACTCCACGGACTCCTCGCAGAGCGGGAGCAAACTGGAGCGCTTCCTGCCCAATCACTTTGTGGAGGCCCAGCTCAACGAGGTGGCCTGCCCGGTCGGTGGCTCTGCGGCGGTGGCATCCGGCGGCGGCGGTGGCGGCGGCGTCTTCGACGAGAATCCCCTCCAGATGCATGTGGCGGCCGCCACAGCAGCCGCCGCCGCTGCCGCGGTGGCCGCCCACAAGCGGCACGAGCTCCAGATGGCCAGTGTCGCCGGCGGCGGCGGCGGCGGAGGAGGAGTGGGACAGATGGCCACCGAGGACGACGACGAGGATGAGCCACAGCGGCCAGCATTTAAAAACCACCTCCACGGCCTGGCACATGGCCACGCCCTCGGGCTGGGCCACAATCCCATGGACGATCCCGGCGAGGCGCCCGACTTCGAGAAGGACTGCAATGGAGCCCTCAACATGCACCACCAGAACAACAACCACCATGACAACAACATATCCATGAAGTGAGTAGATTTGAACACATTATCAAAGAAGCACTACTGTTTAAGGAAAAGGGAACAATAGGAATAAATATAAAAATAAAATATTAAAATCAAAGTTTGAAATCCATGAATTAACTAACATTTTACAAATTTTTAATTTTCATATTTAAAACTAAAGTGAATGTGAAAAAAGGTATGATAATCCCTATTTTGATCAATATTTCCCTTGTTTCGGCCAAAAAATTGTTTTTTTTTGGATATCCGGGTTTTTGGTTCGTGACAAAAATAGGAATTTTTTCTTTTGGTTTTTTTGCTGTAACTTGGCTAATAATTGTCCGACACCAAAAGTACTTACTGTTTTGAACAGATAACAAACTAATAAATAAATCCAAATTACTTTCCGGGTGATCTTGAAAAAATAAAAATTTCGTCAATTTTCAGTTTTTTTTAAGGGGGTACATCATGATTTTTTTCCGAAAAATGGCAAAAAAAATAAAATGTCCAGGTTTAAATGCCAATCGATAGGAAATTTAATAACGAGTTCAAAAAGGTATGACAATCCATATGTGGATCAATATTTCCATTGTTACGGTCAAAAAAATATCTTTTTTTTTTGTGAAAAATTTAGATCTGGGTTTTTGGTAAAAATTATTTTTTTTTATGGTCATGGCATCTGAGATTTTTGGCACTAACCTTTAACTTAACCTCCACTCTACCTCCCTCAGGTCGGAGCCACTTTCTGAGGGCGAGTTCAATCCGGATGACATCCAGCTGATGCAAACGAACTACAATGGGTGAGTGAAATCCCTTGTTTCTTGTCTCCAACTAAACTAAGTACAAACCAAACTGAATTCCAGGGCACAGAACTACTACTCACCGGGCCTGGACCCGAACATACTGCACCCGGACGTGATTGTGGACACGGACAACCTGTCCGACTGCTCCTCGTCCACCACGCTGAAGAAGAAGCGCAAGATGTCCACCTCCACCGATGGCGACAGCACCAACTACGAGCTGATCGAGTATCTGAAGCGGCGCGAGAAGCGCGACGAGGAGTTCCTCAAGCGGATGGATGCGCGCGAGGATCGGCTGATGAATCTGCTGGAGCGCACGGTGGTGGCCATTGAAACGCTGGCCGTGAGGCGGGCACTACCCTTTCCGGCGGTCCAGGAGAAGACGCCCACGGCAGCTGATCCCTTTTCACCGCCCCCAGAAGCGCCGCCAGCAGCGCAGGTCAATAACTCCGCGGAGCAGGGCAGTTCGGAACCGGAGGATCAGGGATCGGAGGCCATTGAGGTGCCCGATGACGGCGACAGCGGTGAGGATCCCCACTGCCAGGAAAAGGCGGAAAAGGCAGTCGTCTTGAAAGGTGAAGAGACGTAGAATACCACTACTTATTGTACTGAAGAAGTCGCTCGCTAGATCTACTTAAGACTACCTACCTATAATCCCTCCGGAAGAGGACACAGTGCCAAAGAAGAGCCACGTCTCGAACTTTTACTGAGATTGCCATTTTTACTTAGAGGACGAGAAGTGCTTAGCGGACGAGAGGAACTTAACTTAAAGCACCGCAATTCTAGTTGCAGCAATACTTTTAACTCTTTTAATTAGCTCTTAGTTAGGCGGAATCCCACCTGCGGATGCCGAATGAATCTGAATCTCAACACAGCAGGATTCGCACCGCTACGATAATCTAGTTGGAGCTGCAACGGGGCTCAAATGCATTTGTGCAGCAACTTAGGCACAATCATTTCATTTTTTTTTCTAATCTAGATGAATACGTGTACGATTAAAAGAAAAAAAAAAGCAAATGTGGTTTATTTTACAGAGGATTGAGCTTAGAACTACATGTGGGCATCCTTTAGTTAATATCCAGAGTTATCCCTATTTTAACTACCGTCGAATTAAACCTAAGGGATCAGTTTTTCGCCTTCTTATTCCGGTACTGCTTGATGTCCTTGCTGGGCAGGTTCTTCTTGGTCTTGGCGATCTTGTTGCTGATCAGCAGCTTCAGGCGGTTCCGCACTTGGTCGTAGTCGGCCTGGTCGACCTCCGGCTTGGCGGACTTGAAGAACTTGGCGCCCTCTGCAAGAGGAAAACAGGATGTTAGAAAAGAGTAAACGAAATCCCTGATTTCTACACTCACCTTTGAGCCGCGGATCGTTTTTGGGTATGAAGAAGGACTCCATTTTGATCTTGCTCTTCTTTTGGCTGGACTTCTTGGCCGGCTGGGCCTGGTTCTCCTTGCTGACCTCCAGATCCTGCTCCTCCTTTGGCGCCTTGGCCTCGTCCTCGCCCTCGCTGTCGGAGGAGTCGTAGGAGAAGGGATTGAGCGTGGCCAGGCCGAGCTTGCTGGCGGACGCCTTGCCCACCAGGATCTTCTCCTGGCCCAGCTTCTCCAGCTGGTCCTGCCGCTTGGCCACCTCCTCGTCCGGTGCGCTGCCGAACATGTCCAGCAGGCTGAAGCCCTCGCCGCGGCTGTTAAGCGAATCCTTCAGCGTGTCGGTGACCATGTAGAAGGCCGTTTTCGAGACGGGCGCCGGTTCAGAGCCCTCTGCACCCTTGGCTTTGGGCTTCGCCTTGCTCTTGGCCAGATCCTCCTCCTCCTCCTTGGGCTGCTTTTGGCGCACTAGCTTCTGGGAATCCTCCTTGGCCGGATCGAAGCGCAGCATCTTTTTGCTCTTCGCCTGCTTGCCGTCATTGTCGCTTATCTTGTGGCCCACAACCTGCTCGAGGATGTTCATCTGCCACTTGCGCTCACTCTCCTCTGGCTCTGGCTGATCCCCCGCTTCCTCCTCCTCCTCGTCCTCCTCCTCGTCCACGAAATTGGAAGTGATGCGAAAGCGGGGATCTATGCTCTGTTTGCTCTGCATCTCCACCAGGCGCTCGCCCTTCTTGCCCTTGTGCTGCGGCAGGACTATGTGCTCCGCCGCCTCCTCATCCTCATCCTCGTCGTCGCCTTCGAAGAGATCACGTTTTTGTTTCTTGGCGGGCTTGGCATCCTCCTCTTCCTCGGGGTCACTGAACTTGATCCGCTTCGCCTGGCCGCCGTCCACGGAGATCGCGGACAGCGCCTGCTGTATGGCGGTCTTCTTCTGCTGGTGCCCCTGCCGCATCTTGTTGAGCGACTCCTTGCGCTTCTGCTCCGCCTGGCTGACCTGGGCGTCCGCCTGGAGTTTAGCCGGCTTGCGGTGCTGTTCGATGATATGGAGCGGCTTCACGTCGTGCTCCTGCTGGATGACAATCTGTAAGAGAAAGAGCCGGATTATCCTAGATCTGAATCCCGGTCAAGTGGTCACCCTACCCTGCCGTTGTGCATGGAGTGGGCTGCCCGCTTCTTGGTGATCAGCAGCTCCGGGGCGATCTCATCGTCGCCGATCTCCTCGTCCTCGCCGAACACCCGCCGCTTGTTCTGGCCGCTCTGGGCCAGCAGCTGGGAGCTCGGTTGGGCCTGGAACTCGGACTCCTCGGGCTCGCCCTGCTCCCGCCGCTGCTGCTCCTCGCGCTCGCGCTTCAGTCGATCCAGGAAGGACTCCTTGGCCAGCGACACGCGCAGCTTGTCGCCGTGCAGCCTCTGCCAGTTGAGCTCGTTGACGCCTGTGGGAATAAGGTTACTTAGTGATCGGTTTTCCCCCTAATCCTGGCCAGCTTACAGTACTGGGCATCGTCCGTCTGCAGGGTCACAAAGGCAATCACCTTGGTGGCCCCATCCTGCTCCTTGCGCTTCAGATCCACATGCTCCACATGGCCGTAGTCCTGGAACAGGCTGCGCAGGTCCGCCTCCGAGGTCCTGGTGGGCAGATCCGCCAGGAAGAACCGAGTGCCGGCCATTTGTATGCTCTTGTATTTAACAAGAAAACAAAACAATATAGCACGTGTAGAAATTCGAATCGATAACTGTGCGCCTTATCGATAGCACGGCTAGCTATCGAGATTGAGGGTATTCCTGGCCTGGCTGGCATTTCGATAGCGCCATCGATAGTCTGACAACGCTCTACGTCACAACGTCGTATTATTTTGTTTTTTGTTTGTGCGAAAAGTTTGCAGCCAGCGACGGCAGCGGGTTAAGCGGGATGAGCGGCACCAGTGGAGCGGCTACGGATCAGGCGGAGATGGCGCCACCGTCGGCGGAGAAGTGGGGCTTTCCCTTGACCGAGCTCTACCGCCTGGCATTTACGTTCTACAAGAGTGAGTGCAGCGACCTCTGAATCGCCCCGAATGAACCGAAACTGAACTAATCCCCCTTCCGCGCAGGGAACTCCGGCAAGGCCATCCATCTGTCCTACGAGGACAACCTCAAGCTGATCGCCTTCAAGCAGCAGGCCGCCCTGGGCGCCTTCAACACGAGCCGAGCGCCGGCGCTGGGCGTTCTGGACGTGATTGGACGCGACCGCCAGCAGCACTGGCAGCTGCTGGGCGAGATCACCCGGGAGCAGGCGATGGAGGGCTTCGTCGACCTCCTGGACACCATGTGCAGCGCCTTTCGTCCGTACATCGAAGCAGTGCGACAGGATCGCGACGAAACGCTGCGCAAGGAGCTGCGCCACATGGAGCTGGAGAAGGAGGCGCGCCAGCGGCAGGAGAACGAACAGCAGGAGCTCCTCGAGGAGGGCTACAAGGAGGAGCTGCAGCGCCGCCAGCTGCAGGACGCCCTCAACAAGCAGACGTACCAGCAGTTTAAGGTAGCTACTCCATCGATTTTTACCCTCTGCACCTGTTGTTCTGTGGCTGCTCAATTATGCATGCTAATTGCCATTGAAAGGGGGTCGTGACCCAGTTCTAACCTCCACCTACACACTCCTTTAACAGCTGTATGCCGAGAAGCAGTTCCCCGGCAATCCCGAGCAGCAGGCCGTGCTCATCCACCAGCTGCAGCGGGAGCACTACCACCAGTACATGCAGCAGCTCCATCTGCAGAATCAGAACCAGAATCAGAACCAGAACGCCGAGGACAAGGGCCAGCCGGAGGACAATGCCCCTGGAAACAACAACAACAGCAGCAGCAGCAACACAGACCTGTCCAATGCCATGGAGGCTCTAAAGCTGGGCGAGATCGAAAAGGAGGCTGTGGAGGAGCAGGCCGAGCAGCAGCAGCAGCAGCAGCAGCTGGGCGAGGAGGAGTACGACGACTACGTGATGATCTGCCCGGCAAAGATCTGGACTCGTCCCGACATCGAACAGTTCAAGACGGAGGTGTCTGCCGGCGATGGCGACGGCGTGATTACCATTGGTCACGGCGACACGGTGACGGTGGGTTGCCCTTCGAGATTACTTCAAGGAAAGATCTTTACCCTTACCCTTTTACAGGTCCGCGTGCCCACCAACATGAATGGCAAGTGCATTTTCTGGGAGTTCGCCACCGACAGCTACGACATCGGCTTCGGTATCTACTTCGAGTGGGCCAAGCCGGTGACCAACGAGGTGACCGTCCATGTGAGCGACTCCGACGAGGACGAGGACTGCGTGGACGAGGACTATCTGTCCACCACCGAGGATTTGGAGTCGGGATCGCTGTCGCAGGAGCGCGGAGCGGTTAGCAATCCCACTGCTCCGCCCAAGGCGCCCATTTCCATCATAGTGCCCATCTACCGGCGGGAGTGCTACAACGAGGTCTACGTGGGATCCCACTCGTATCCCGGCGAGGGCGTCTACCTGCTGAAGTTCGACAACAGCTACAGCATCTGGCGCTCCAAGACACTCTACTATCGCGTCTACTACGAGCGCTAAACGAGGCCAAAATGTATTTAATATCCACTAAACTAGAAGAATCCTATCTCTGTACGACCGGCTAGTGTGCAAGTCCGGAATTATCTGTATGTGCGTGTGCGTGTGGCTTTTGGTTATGGTGTTACGTGTCCCGGAAACAACAATTATCCAGCCATCCTTGCGAATAAGCGGATGGATGAAACCTATTTTATTTATTATTTAGTTGTAACCCACAAAGACAAGTCCAAAATTCAATTTGAAAATAATAAACCAACAAGAAGACAACTGTAAATACACACTATTCACATTACTTAGCAAAGGTTCGAAACATGTATGTATTTATCCCCATTCTTTAATCGACTATTAAAGGCATGCAGCATTTATAAAGTTGTTCTGGTGAAAAAATAGATTTGTTACTGGAAGTATATATACAAAATGTACCAAAGGTTTTTCTTTTATTAAACATTTTGGGTTTCCCTTTTTTTTATATCAGAATTTTTTAAATAGTTCCACAATTTAACAATTATAAAAGTCAGGAATATCCGAATTTGTACACCTTTTAAAGGACATTTTCACCAATTAATTTTACAGGCAGGTATTTTTTAATTTATTTAAATTTTAATCAGATAATAATATTCATAAGCTTTTTATAAATAGAAAATTAAATCCCAGTGTAGAGAGGCCCTATAAGCGAACGGTCACACCATTTACTGGTCTTGCATCGATAGTATCAATAGTCGTACCGATACCGATAAACGATTATGCATGCACTCAGGTGTTTAGCCGGCAATTGGATTCAGATTCCAATTCCAAGAGCAAGTGCAGCCGGAGGAGCGACCAGGAGGCGGCTCAGTTATGTCCTGGGCATCGAGACCTCCTGCGACGACACGGGCATCGCCATCGTGGACACCGCCGGCCGGGTGAGGGCGAATGTGCTGGACTCGCAGCAGGAGTTCCACACCAGGTGAGCATGGAATGTCCAGAAAGGGAACCTAAAATAACCGGATGCCTTTCCAGATACGGAGGCATCATTCCGCCGCGGGCCCAGGACCTCCACCGCGCCCGCATCGAGTCCGCCTACCAGCGCTGCCTGGCGGAGGCGCAGCTGCAGCCGGAGGATCTAGCGGCCATTGCGGTCACGACGCGTCCCGGCCTGCCGCTGAGCCTGCTGGTCGGCCTGCGCTTCGCCCGCCACCTGGCCCGTCGCCTGCAGAAGCCCCTGCTGCCCGTCCACCACATGGAGGCGCATGCTCTGCAGGCGCGCATGGAGCACAAGGAGATCTGCTTTCCCTTCCTCTGCCTCCTGGCCAGCGGCGGCCACTGCCAGCTGGTTGTGGTCCATGGCCCGGGACGCCTCACTCTGCTTGGCCAGACCTTGGACGATGCGCCCGGCGAGGCGTTCGACAAGATCGGACGCCGCCTGCGCCTGCACATCCTGCCCGAGTACCGCCTGTGGAACGGCGGCCGAGCCATCGAGCACGCCGCCCGGTTGGCCAGCGATCCGCTGGCCTACGACTTCCCGCTGCCGCTCGCCCAGCAGCGCAACTGCAGCTTCAGCTTTGCGGGCATCAAGAACAACTCCTTTCGCGCTATCCGCAGGCGAGAGCTTTCCGAACGGACGCCTCCGGATGGGGTGATCAGTAATTACGGGGACTTTTGCGCCGGCCTGCTGCGCGCCGTCAGCCGGCATTTGATGCACCGCACCCAGCGGGCCATCGAGTACTGCCTCCTGCCGCAGCTGCGTCTCTTCGGCGACGCCCCGCCCACGCTGGTCATGTCCGGCGGGGTGGCCAACAACGATGCCATCTACGCGAATATCGCTCACCTGGCCGAGCAGTACGGATGCCGCAGCTACCGGCCGTCCAAGCGCTACTGCTCCGACAACGGGGTGATGATCGCCTGGCACGGAGTGGAGCAGCTGCTGCAAGACAAGCAGGGCAGCCTGCGCTTCGACTACGACAGCATCGACATCCAGGGCAGCGCGGGATTCGCCGAATGCCACGAGGAGGCTGTGCAAGCGGCGGCCATCAAGTGCAAGTGGATACAGCCACTGGGCTAAGTTCCTGTTCATAGTTTTAAGCATTTCTTGAGTAAATATTTGTTATTAAAGGGTGATCTCCCTTGAAATCGTTCAAATTATAAGCTAGTTTGTTTTGCCCTCTTGAGAAGATGGAATGCATATTTTATTGTCTGGTTTAAAACATGAAAAAAGGATTTTTATAAACGTAATTAACTTAAATGTTGCTTTAAACAATTATCCGAAATGGATATTCAATCAATTTCCTTGTTCATCCAGTCAATTGAAATAATTTCCCATATATTTGGGATAAATTGTTCAAATTATAAGCTAGTTTGTTTCGCCCTTTTGAGAAGATGGAATGCATATTTTATTGTCCGGTTTAAAACATGAAAGTAGTTAAAGAAGCATAAATTGTAAAGTAATTAACTTAAATGAATTTTCCATTAATTTCCCTGTTCATCCAGCCAATTGAAATAATTTCCCATATATTTGGGATATTAAATGATTTTATTTCAAGAATCCCAACTTATTGTTTCATTGTTTACTGCCTTGCTCCACACAGAAAATAATGGTTTCGTTTTGGATTTCGTTTTATTATAAGATATTATCTGAAATCAATAATGTTAAATCACTAAGGTCTAGAAAAAAAATGTAAAAATTGATAATGTATACATATAAAAATAGTAAAAAATGCATTAGTTCGTATTTTCTCTTCTTTGTTGTTTACGCTGAACTACAATACAAATTTTTCTTGCTGTTGCCGCTTGTTGGTTTTATTGTTATACTTTATGGATTTATATATATATATTTATATAGATTGTGGATTTCAGATGTGTGTTTGTGGATGCAACGCCTAGTTCGGTTCTTGTTTATCTTCTTCCTTTGTTTTAATTTACTTTTAATCATATTTCAATACTCATACTCTTATTTTTATTACATAATAAGCTTCACTTTCATATTTGCATGTCAGCGAATTCCTTCCTACCTCCGTTGTTTGAACATTGCGCCATCGTCAGTTGTCATAAATACTTTATATAATCTTCGCGACCTGGCATATTCTTCACGTTGCTCTCGGGACTATATGTGTGTATCCAATATCCGACTTGGATCTGGATCGATCGACTGATGCAAAACAAAAAATTGCATGGTTCTCTCGCTTTTTGTTTGTTCTGGATTGTTGTTTTGTTATCATAAATTTATATTTTCTTGCTTTTTGTTTCCTCCTTAATTCTTGTATATATTTATAAAGAAATATATATAAATAATTTGTTTTCGCTATATTGATATTGTGTTTTTTTTCTCCTCTCCTTGCTTAAAACATAAGAAAATTGCGCCAAGAACCGGAAATGAAATATAGCTTGTTTTTGATTTGATTGTTGGCTGAAGTTCTGAGGGGCGGAAGACTGTGCCCGAGTTAGGATATAGCAATATAGCAATATAGCAATAGAGAAATAGGTAAAGACAGAGGGAAAGTAGCTTGTGGAGAACTGGGACTTCAGAGTAACATGGAACATAAATCATAAAACAGCATACATCATGCGTATATGTATATATATATGGGTATATATTGAACGCTTCTCGACAAGACGAAAGGAGGAGGCGGAGGCGGAGGAGGCGGAGTCATTGCGATAGTAGAAAGCCAGAATGAAAGGGATACATCATCATGTGGGTTTGGGGGTGGGATTTGGAAGGAGGAGAATTATAAGAATTTGCACTTCCTCTTCTTTGTGGGCTCTGGCGGCTCCAAAGCGGCCAAGATGGCCTCGTCGAACACATTTTTCAGGCCCTTCTGCGTCAGGGCCGAGCACTCCACATACTTGACGGCCTTCAGCTCCTTGGCCAGCTTCTCGCCCTGCTCCATGGTGATGGGCTTCTGCTTGTTCTTGGCCAGCTTCTCCAGCGTGCTGGTCTCGTCGCGCAAGTCGATCTGTGTGCCCACCAGCAGGAAGGGTGTCTTTTGGCAATGGTGCGTGATCTCGGGCACCCACTATAGGGATAAACAGGAGGATTAGTAAGGTATAGTATATAAAATCCCTTAACCCACCTTCTCCTTGACGTTCTCAAACGAACTGGGACTGACCACCGAGAAGCAGACGAGGAAGACGTCCGTCTGCGGATAGGAAAGCGGACGCAGGCGATCGTAGTCCTCCTGGCCGGCCGTATCGAAGAGGCCCAGTGTGTAGGGCTCCCCGCCGATCATCACGGTCACCGCGTAGTTGTCGAAGACAGTGGGCACATATTCCGAGGGGAACTTGTTGGTTGTGTACGAGATGAGCAGGCAGGTCTTGCCCACGGCTCCGTCGCCGACGACCACGCACTTGATGGTTTGCATGTTGCTGCTGACTCCTGTGGATTGCGAATATTACTTTTAGTTAGGGTTACTTTCTGTATTAGTTGGTAAATAGTAAATAGTAAGGAGCAAGAAGAAGAGCAGGGTGCGGTGCCTCTTCTTCTTACTATCCTGGGCTCCTGCCAGAGTGACCGTTCGCCTTTGGCCAGCTTATCTATTATCTATTATCTACGAGGCAACACACATAGCTGGGCAGATGATGACTCAAGCCGAAGAAGAAAGAACGGAACGGCGCACACAGATAAGCCGGACGGGCATCAGAAAATTCTGATTGGACACACACAGACACACATGCGGCGAGTAGGGCGGTCGGTCGGTCTGCACTGGTGTGCGCTTACTGGCTCAAAATGCAGTTTCTACTGCACTATTACTATTATTTAGGCGAGTTTACTCAATCACGGGATTTGTCGCAACAGTCAGCTGCCACCGATGACTTGTTTTTCGGCGCAATTAGCGCTTAGAGCCCGATAATATTGGACATTTGCACAGGCTAAAAACTAATGAAATTTGGAACCAATTATTTATCACACTCGCACACTAGCGCACGGCCCCGCACACACACACACACAGGCCCGTCATCGACGTTTCGTTTCGTTTTCATTCAATTTTCACTGGTCAATTTTCAACTATAAGTTCGCTTTTCGGCCCTGTTCTTTGGCCCCGCGCGACCAGGCACATTTTCTACTTACAATTTATTGAAATTCTCAACCGCTGGCGAGTCTGTTCCGAGTTTTCCGCTTTTCTGGGCTGGGCTCGACTCGATTCGTATTCGTATTCGTATTCGTACGCAGTGCTGCCAGATGAAAATGTTGCTACTATTTCCCCAGCGAGTGACTAGCGCGGCGTTGCCACCCAGTCGCAGGGCTACCAACCGGCATGCAGAGCCTGGTATTTTTTGGTATTTAACCGAGGGATATTTGGCTATATAAATGTTATAACTGATTTGTTAGTTCTGAGGTTAAATCTATCCAAAAGGCTCTGCTGACTGATATACATATATAATACAAATTTGTTTAAAACCCAAAAGAGGGGCCTGCAAATGGTCACGGTATCAATGCAGTATTTTTTTAAAATCAAACTATAGGTATATATTACTTTAAAAATCTAGGAAATAATAAGAATTACTAAGCTCTCGTTAGTATTTCGAAAAGCTAAAATAGAATACCCGAAATATCGATACTATCGATAGCAGCGCCACAAGGGCGGCGAGACGAGGGGGCGAGAACAGAGAACAAAACAATAGCAATTCAATAGAACATAGAACTAATTCGCTGGAATGGCTGGATTTCTGAAGACACGGTGAGTCGGTACTTGCCATCTCCTGCCTTTCACTTACACCTACAATCATTCTGCACAGGAAGCGCAGCCGGGAGGACGACCTGCCGTGCGAATCGACGCCCCTGTCGAAGCGCATCAACAACCTGCACCTGAACTACGACGACGGGAACAGCAGCAGCAGCAGCAGCTGCAGCATTCCGCCGCTGCCAGGAGGAGGAGGAGGTGGCCCCGGTGGCCCAGAGGCAGCAGGAAACGGAGTGGCAGCCGGGGGATACGAGTACAATCCGGAGCTGGGAGCCGAGCAGAATCCCTTTTACTACGAGAAGAACAAGATGCTGTACGACCTGCACGTCGAGCGGATCAAGCGGAGCAGCCAGTAGCTCCTCCGGTAGCTCCCAGGAGTTCAAGTGCCAACCGAGTTCTCTGCCGCAACACAGCACTCTGTAGTCCTAGTTTAGCCTAGTTTGCGTCTCATCATCGTAAGGTGTCCAAGGAGCTGGAGAAGAAACGAAACGTAGCGAAACCGGATTTGTGTGATAAGCATTGTTTACTTGCTAAGCATTTGCATCGCCTCGGATGCGGCTATATAATACTAACAGAAATCGAGCCAAGACTCCCCCAAAAGCACGCACATTTCCCCCGCCCATACGCCCCTTAAACAAAAATCTGTAATTATAAACGTGTATTTATTCTAAGAATATTCTAAGAACCACCTGATTTTCATTTTCAATCATTTGGTGACCGAAAGCGGGGGAATACCTTGAAATATGATGGCTATATTGGGTTTGGTTTCGGATCGGGGTCTCTTTTTTATGAGTCGCTGGAGGAAGAACTAAGCTACAGGGACCTGAAAATGAGCAGAGATGGTCTCCTTTTCCAAAGACAGTTCGTTTACATACGTAGCAAAACATTTTGCTTACTTTTCTGTTTCCTAATTGGTCCGTATTTAATATAAAGTAATATAATAAATTTTTAAAAATATACTGTCTTTTATTTAGGAAATCATTTAAGTGACAAGAACAGAAGCTATACATTTAAATCGATTTTTCCTATAGGAGCTATAAGATATAAACGCCCGATAGGTGTACTTTTTATCCTGATTAAAATATTCTAATTGTTATGCTTCCTTAGGGCTGCAGCAGTGCTTCCTTAGTGGAGCTCCAGATCGGATTAGTAGTAGTTCCAGATCCTTTAAGTAGTTTTGCATAAAAAGTGCACCGTAATTTGCAGATATTTTAGTTATTGAGCTTCATATCCGGCTGGATGGCCTGCAAAGTGTCTGGTGAGGATTGAAATGGGTTAATTTCGGAGATTATCGTACCGTAGGTGGCCTAGATTGTGGAATGGTGGAACCTAGTCTTAAACTCGCTTGTTTTCCTGGATTTTATGTGTCCTGGATTTTCCCTGAGTCCAATTCACCTGGTTTGCCGAGATCCTCGAGCACATTGGCACGAAAATAGTTCATATAGTGCGCATCCATGACAAAATAAAGTAAATAGTTAAATCAGCTGCTTCTATTAATGTTTTTTTCAGAAAATCGCGCGTTGCTTTCAGCGATGACAATAAAAACTACCGTCCATTCCAAAGAAAAATACCACTAAATACCGTTTAAGTTTCAAGAAATACCATTTAAATACCATTAATTTTAGGTATATTTTAATAGCAAGGGCATTCCTTCGTTATTTCACCATCTGGCAACGCTGTAAATTAAAGGCGCAAATTGTCTTAAAAATTCCAAACCAAACTTAAGATGCCACCAAAAAGGGCCAAAAAAGCGGCGGTAAGTTGCGTACACTTGTATTTTTCAATCGTTTAAAGCTGCCCGAAACGTTTTCCAGGAGCCAGCCGCTCGGGAGGATGAAGCCGCAGAACTGGATCCCAACGAACCGGTGCTCCATGTGGAGCACTGTCGTTCCTGACGCGTCTTTCGTCGTCGGGCGAAGGATCTGCACTCTGCTCTGCGGGAACGCGGTCTCCGTCGCCTTCAGCTGCGACTGAATGCATCCGGAGCACCGCGGCGAGGCGCCTTCGAGTTGGCCTTGCAGCCGGGATTGGGATCTGGATTGGGGGAGCAGCAGAAGCAGCAGGAGCAGGTGCCACTTTGGTCGGGTCTAAAGCGAGGTCCACCACGTGCTCTCAAGTTTCCCACTGTGGAGGAGGTATACGATCGGATCCAGGCGATTCTGGGTGTCGATTTGCAGGGGAATAAAACGGAGTCCACAGAGAAACCATTGCCAAAAGATTTGCCCAACGAGGAGGTAGGTATAATATTAAATCCCTAAAGAAATTTAACTTATTCTAGTTTCTCGCAGGCCCAAAAAGACCAGGAATCCAAGGAACTACCTGAGCAAGAGCCAAAAAAACTAACCAAAGCCAAGAGACAGCCAAAAGCCCCGAAGAAGCCAACGAAATCCCCGGAAGAAATGGATAAAGAGCCACCACAAAGCAGTCAAAAACGCAAGCGAACCACCAGATCCTCCACAGAAGAAGCTTCCACATCTGCCAAACGCAGGAAATAGTTGTTACCGAGCCAATCCCCTCCAGCAATAGAGCTTTATGATTGATGATGGGCCAATCCTCGCGAGGAACCCATCATTAAGAACACCCCTTGCCTTTGCTGGATGGTTTTTTAAGGTTACGAGAAAAACACTTGTGCACGTTTGTTATTACAAAATATATTAAAACATCTTAGAAACCTATTTCCATTTTTTTTTGCCTTCTCTGTGGGTTTTTTTTGTCTGATTTTTGCCTCTCAATCGTTAAAATTTTGTGGACTTTGATTCTTCTTCCGAAAATGTACATAATTTTTGTGTGTTTTGATCTTGATTTATTTTTATACTCGCTTAGTTTTTGTTAAAATTTGTTTTCTTCGTTTTCAGCTCAGCTTAAGAATTATGATTCTAGAGAAAAAATTTTGGTTTTTCGAAATTGTTTCTTAGCTTGTTCTATATGCTAGAGATACCCTACCACTTGCCTAAATAGATTACAATCTGAATTGTCTCCTTTGTTTAACTAAAATTTTGGTTAAAAAAATTGAATATAATATGTGTGTGTGGGGTTTTTGGGGAAATTGTGAAGGATAGATATAAAGTAGCAGCAACAGAAACCGAGAGATTGCGATTAGGCGGAGAGCCAGGGGCCCCGAAATTGGGCTGGCCTTAAGTAGAGTCGCTAATATAATGCAGGTAAATATATATAATGCCTGTACACTCGTATAGAAAATGTACAATATAAGTTAAATAGACTGGCGAGCTGCTAAGTAAGTTTCCCTTCGAAAGCAGCTCGCCCGCCCATTTGGTAGTTCAAAAAACAACAATCAATTGGCTATGGGAACATAAAGTTAAGAGAGGCGAAACATTGGAATTGTATTGGCTACGGCCTGGTGCGCGTGTTGATCCTAATCCTGTTTCTGTTCCTGTTCCTGGTCCACAATGTGATTAGCTTCTTCTCATTCGCGGCTTAAGAACTAACTTTAAATTAGGTGCGAAAGGTAAATCGAAAACAGGGGGATATTGATTGAATTACACGGCGAATTGAATTAGTTTTCAGAGTTACAGATACTTCCGATAGTTGCGCAGATGGGCGTTGGCGTCCTCCACCACGCCCACCGCAGCGGCGGCGCTCTCGAAGGAAGGCGGCTCGATGACCAGGCCGGGACTACTGGGATCGCAGGCCACGCCGACGGCGCTGCTGGGTCCCTTGGTTCGTCGCCTTCCGCGGGTTCCCGCTCCCCGGGATCGCCGGCTGTTGGCTCCCGCAGCTCCTGCCGCTCCTCCTGCGCCGCCTGCTCCTGCTCCGCCTGCACCGCCTGCTCCGCCTGCACCGGAGATCCCGGCCAGAATGCCGCCGCCGCCGCCGCCGGCGACCGGACCGCCGCCATTGCTGCCCGGCACACTCTCGCCCAGCGACTCGATGGCCTCCAGCGAGGCGTCCAGCGCCGCGTCCGTCGTGGTGATGCGCGACCTGGCCGCTGCACTGCGTCTCCGCGAGCTGGAGCCTCCGCCGGCACTCCCGCCGGTGCCTCCTCCGCCGCCACCGCCGCCGGAATCCCCGCCTCGCTGCTTCCCGGGCCGCCGCTTGCGCCGCTTCTTGTTGCCGTAGCGCGGATCGTAGTCGTACTCATCGTCCGCCGGCGACTTGGGCTCCTCCAGCGAGTCCACGTCGTTCATGTCCATGTCATCGTAGAACCACTCCTTGGGCAGCTGCTCCTCCTTGGCGGCCAGCTGCTGCTGCTGCTGCTGCTGCTGATGATGCTGCTGCTGCTGGCTGTCCTTGCTGTCGGAGGTATCGCCGCCGGCGGCACCCAGCGAGCTGGACTCCTCCAGGCTGAAGGCCCCGTTGAAATCGTGGGCCGTGTCGCTGTGCAGGGAGCCCAGAACCGACGGAACCGCCGCTCCGCCGCCGGTGAGCATGTTGAGCGTCAGGGAGGAGCTGCTCGCCAGGCTCTGGCTGCCCGGCAGCTGCAGCGGCAGGGGCAGCGACATGGGCACACCCACGCCCAGACCCACGCCGCTGGTCAGGCTGTGGCTCAGGCCCATGTTCACGCCGCTGGCCACCAGCGCCTCGTGCTCCTTGCGCAGCGCCTGGAAGGGACGCTCCGGGAAGCGGCTGAAAGGGTATACAGGTGGTTAATTGAGTGGGTTTAACATGTTATAGAGGGAATTATACTGCAAATATTGGGTTACTTCCTTATATACTAAGTTATAGCTACACAAAATGATATACAATTAATAGAACTAGTATTTACAACCTAAAACCCCTCAAAAAGTAACTTTTTGGAGCTCTTGGAGCCGCGGAATACTCTTGGAACTGTAGATTTCTTTATGTACACTAGGTTCTAACTACACAAAATGATAATCAATTAATAGAACTAGAATCTAGAACCTGAAAAGGATCATCATGAAGCTCTTGTAGCCTCAAAATACTTGTTGAACTCTGGATTTCTTTATATATAATAGGTTCTATTTACACAAAATGAAATCTTGATAATAGAACTATAATATAGAACCCAAAAAGGGTCATTATGAAGCCTTTGGAGCCTCGTAATACTCGTGGAACTCTAGAATCCAGGTTCTAACTACACAAAATAAAATCTAGTTAATAAAACTAGAATCTAGAACCTAGAAAGAATCATCATGAAGCTCTTAGAGCCTCGGAATATTCGTGGAATTGTAGATTTCTACATGTATACTAGATTCTATCTACACAAAATGATATACAATTAATAGAACTAGAATCTAGAACCTGGAAAGGAACTTTATAGAGCTCTTGGAACCTCGGTATACCCGTGGAACTGTAGATTTCTTCATGTATACTATATTCTAACTATACAAAATTATATCTAGTTAATAGAACTAAAATCTAGAAACTAAAACCCCTCAAAAACTGACTTTTTGGAGACCTTGGAGCCTCGGAAAAACTCGTGGAACTCTAGATTTCTTCATGTATACTAGGTTCTAACTACACAAAATGATATCCAATTAAAAGAACTACAATCTAGAACCTTGAATGGACATTTCTGAAGCCCTTGGAGCCTCGGAACTGTAGATTTCTACATGTATACTAGGTTCTAACTACAGAAAATACAATCCAGTTAATAAAACTTGTATCTAGAAGGTAGAAAAGATCATCATGAACATCTTAGAGCCTCGGAATGCCCGTGTAACTCTACATTTCTTCATCCCCTGGCTCAATCCTCACCTGTACATCTTGCTCAAGTACTGGCGGCGGCTCTTCCGCCACCGGGCCGCCGGGTAGGTGTAGATCTGGCCCTGCCGGAAGCCCGGCATCCGCTGGCGCTTGTCGAGGAACAGCTGCGAGTGGTTCTGGGCGACGCCCGTCTGCGGGTCGAGGAAGGGCAGCCGCAGGCGCCGCTCGATGCAGAGGCGCGTGTTGAAGTTGGCGCTGTACTCGATCGTCTCCCGGTAGCTGACGTCCTTCAGGAAGCTCTCGATCTTGGCCAGGTTCGGCATGGAGACGATCTGGATGTTGACCGCGCCGCCGGATGACATGGCTGCGCCGACTGCGGTTCCTTGCTCCAGATCCTAGTCCCTAGTTCCAGTTGGCTCTCACAATCGCCCGCTAATCCATCCCAGAATCTTGGCTATTTCCGCTGGCCCCGAGTTTCGGTTTCTTATCGCGAAGTTTCTCCCAGTGTGTTCTGTTCCGTTTCTTATCGCTTTTCGCCTGCCTGTTTTTTTTTTCCTCTTTTTCGGTTTCCTCTTCGTCGTCTCCTTCCACTCCGCGCGCACTCACACGCTCGCAAAGCTCTCTATCGATGTGACCCGCGCCAGGGGGCGTGGCGGCGTGGGCGCTGTGGGCGTGGCGAGGGCGGTACGGTCAGTGGGCGATCTGCGGCCGGGTTTTTCTATTGTTTAATTGATCAGAAACGTTAACGTCGATTTTTACTGCTCCGCAATGTGACCGCATTCCGGATTGCACTATCGATAGCCCGGAAAGTATTCGGCAAACGGTCACGCAAAAATGTCCGCTATGTCAGTGGGGTGAAGCGAATGCACCCTCCTCACATAGCGGGTACACCCTCCTTGCTCAGTGGGTACACACACCTTTTGAATTATTTTTGGAATTCTAGATTCTTGATTTTCGACCCATTGTGGAATTTTAATCCGTATTTCAGTTATTATTAAGGATTTCTTTCTAGTTTGCATTTTTCTTTATCAGAATCTAAAGTTTGCTTTTAATTTAAAAATGTTTTCGTTTTTTAAAAGGTTTTAATACTTAGTTTCTGATTTCTTAGGTTTATCCTTTAAAGTTAAATAATTCGTTATTTTGTTATGTTTTGTTAATAATTAAAAAGTTTAGTTCATGCGAAGCTCGACATTATTCCTTCTATTTGAGTTCTACATCTTTTTTTAGAATTTTCTTGTTGTCAGATATTAGGGGGGTTATTTTTAAAAATCAAGTTTAATCAATCAAGTTATGAAAAGCTTTCAAAAATAAATATATCGTTAACGGCAATATAGGGTTAACGATTTCTTATCGATTCCCCATCAGCTGGCAACGCTTAAAAAATAAAAATATAAAAAGTGAAACCAAAACAAGCGAACACCAACCAACGAAATAGATGAAAATACAGCTTTGTTCGCGATTAAAGACTGTTTTTGGGACGTAAATAGATCGCAAATAGGGGCCCGTTTCATGGAAAAAACACCCACCAAGCTAACCGCACCGAACCCATTTACTAACCGATTTAGATTAGCTGCGTTCGTAAACAACGGATAAGACTGTATATCAGCTGTACGTTAATTTAGTGATAAAACCATCGTAGAGCCACAGCAACAAAGAGACTGAACTGAACGACCTGCCATTTTGATACCGACACCCCGTCGAGATTAAAGCCAATTTTTGGATCCGATCCCCAGTTGTCCGCCGACTTCTAAGCACCTCGCATCGCTACTTTGTAACCGGACTATAGTCGCATATATCCTATATAGTATTGCACATATATACGATGTGCGTGATATTCTTCTGTGCGGACTCCAATCCGCAGCTGGGTGGCTACAAGCTCATTTTGGCCTCCAATCGGGACGAGTTCTTCGCCAGGGCCACCCAATCCGCGGCCAAGTGGGCGAATGCCGATCATGTTTACGGTGGTAAGTAATAAGTATTATGTAGAGGGTCTTTTAAATTGTTTTCGAATTTTTTTTTTATATATTTTTAATGTTTTTTAAGAACTGCCGTTATCTTGGATATCATATCAAATCTTTATGAACAGCCATAAAAGTTACTAAAAAAATTATAAAGTTTTATATTTTTATTTTGTGCTTTAACGGATGTTTTTTAAAAAACTATAGGTCTTAGTATTGATACATTGAAAGATTAAATATGGTGTTAAAACAAAAGTAGTAAACCTAAATAAAATATAATAGTAAAAGGCATTATAAAATAATAATATAATAACTTGTAACTGTATTTGTAAAAGATTTTGTTTAATGTAATTAATTTAAGATTTTATGTTCATAGTGACTAGTGCAGTAAAAATAAGTTTCACGCTTGTTGTTCTAGGATAGTAAAACAATACAATTAAAATTAAATTATATGGTAAATCTTGATATTCTTGAATATTTCTTATAAATATGGGCATATAATATTTATTAAAGTTTTAATATAAGGTTTTTATAATATTGCAATACTAACTATACAAATATATGATCAAAAAATACGTTAAATTCCCTTTATAATTATTAAATTTATTAACAATTTGGAGTATTTTTTTTAATATATATTTTCTTCAATTTCAGGAATCGATTTAGAGCCGGGACGCGAGGGTGGAACCTGGCTGGCCATCGGCCACTCCGCGGGCTTCTTCAAGGTGGGCGCCCTGCTCAACCTGACCGGCGAGCCCAAGCCCCGCGATGCAGTCGGTAAACCCCCATTTAAGCTAAGCTTACTAACCAAAACTCACTGCCACACGCACACACGCACCATTCATTTTGGCCCAAACTAAAACTTTCACAAATCAAGGCGACAAAAGAAATGAAAATATCCAAAAAAAAAACAACTTTCTTCGTTTCTGTTTTCTGTTTGAAGCGCACAAGAACATTTTGCAACCGCATAATCACAACAGCAACAAGCCCACCACCTCCAACAACAACAGTCATCTGAATCTGAATACGAATCTGAATCCGAATCTGAATGCAAATCCAAATCCAAATCCGAATCCGAGTAAGGGGCAATCGAATAACGAACATTTCTTACTAGGGCGCGGCATGATCGTGGCTGACTTCGTCACCCAGGCGGACGAGGAGCACAGCATCCGGAACTACAACCAGAGGCTCCTCAAGGACTGCACCAAGTACAGTGCCTTCAACTTTGTGTCCATCGAGATTGGGTGAGTCCTCTATATTCTATATTAACTAAGGAGATTTATTGGAACTTCATGATACTTTTTCAGTAAAATACTGATCATCTTGTTGATTTCTTGTAAATTTAGAACTATAAAGTTTAAATATTGAAAAAAAGTGGGTGTTGAACTCTATACCTCTCTAGTTACCAATCATTCATTTAAATTATGAAAAATTCTGATAAACTTCTTGGTAACTTCTTTTAAATATACAAACCCAAAGCAAATCATTCCAAATATTTAATATATAGTTTATTGTATTGAATTCTCAAAATCTCTTATTACCAATCATTCATTTAAATTAAAAAAGGTTTTTAAATTATTAAAAATTCTAATAAATTTTTTGGTAACTTCTCCTAAATATACGAACCTAAGGCAAATCGTTCCAAATTTTTAATTATATTGAACTCCCTTTATCTCTTGTTACCATACATTCATTGAAATTTAAAAAAATATATATTTAAAAAATATTTTAAACTGAAAAATCTTTAAAAAGCTAAGTTACCTGTTGGTATTGAGCTCGTCCCCTTATAAAATTGATATATTTTCTTTAAAATCATTTGGAGAACTAATATAAAAAATATATATTACAAAATATTTGAATTTTTCTAAGGAATATGGAATATAAGTTCCTAAAAATCAAGCGATTTAGCTGGATTAAATTTGGATGAACCAATATCAGTTTATGGGTGCCATTAATAAAAGACCATAAATTATATGATCTTAATTTGACTTACGGCGATAAAGACCAATATAAATAAATAATTGTGTTTTGTTTGGTTTAAGTAAAGTACTAATTATATACATATATTCCTTATTTATGCTTAAAGATCTCCATCTTCAAGTGAACACAAAGTAATAATTTTATACATTATATGTATTATACCTCTTTAAAGATCTCCATCGCTGCCCGCACGCGTGGAGCTGCTGAGCAATGTGCCGCCGACGCTGGAGGAGTTCCGGAACGGCGGTTGCTACGGATTCGGCAACAGCCTGCCACACACGCCCTTCGAGAAGGTGCGCCACGGCCAGCAGGAGTTCGAGGCGATAGTGCGGGAGCATGGGGGTGCCAGTGTGGAGACCCTCTCCTCCCAACTGATGCAGCTGCTGAGGAACAAGCACCGATTCTGGCCAGATGCCGAGCTAAAAAGGCGGGCGCCCAACTGGGGCGAGGGCTTGAGTGCCCTCAACGTGCACATTGCAGACCATGCCTACGGCAGTCGGACGCACACGGTCATCCTGGTGGACAGCCAGAACAGGATGCACTTCATTGAGGAAACGATGGCCGGACTGGATCCGCAGGGCGAGTGGAGCAGGACGCACATCGAAAAGGATTTTCCGGGCTATGTATAGAATATATATATCAGGAATTTGCTTCCTCCACTAATTTGTAATCTGTAATCTGTATTTTGACTCTGGCATTTACGATAATAAATAGTCATAGCTACTTAACTATTAACCATATAATGTAGGCTACATTTTCCACTTTTATTCATAGTCACTTAATACCCGACTATTCTGTTTTCGCTTTAGTTTATCTCTGGCATTTACAACCCCCTCCGCAAGCATACATAATTAATTATATTTATATATTTAAGCAAGGTAACAGGGAAGGGAAATAATCATCAACGTCTCGGCTTGCTTATCAGCAGTCCGCACTATCCAGTCGTTATATTATATCTCTATAGCTTTACGATCCAGTTAGTGGCCTCTCTATTTGTATTTCTTGGACACCCGACCGCCGCCTCCTCCTCCTCCTCCTTCACCGCCTGCTCCTCGCAAGACGCTCTTAAATTTCCTTGAGTTCAGCGAACGCTTTCTGCGGGCGAAAAAGAAAGAGATCGAGTTAGATAGTTATACATCCTAGCCCCCAGATACCCACCTCTTGTTCAGGTTATTCCTTGTGAGCGGTATGTACGCATACGGATCCAGTTGCCCGCGCTTCTTCATGTCGCCCTTGGCCTTTTTGCTGCTGTACTCATTGCCAGCCGACTTGCCCGACTTCACTGACATGGCATCCGATTGGCCACCGGCCAGCTGGCGATGGATGCCCTTGCCGCCGGCTGTGTAGCGACTGCTGGCCGTCGTCTTGCCGGACTTCATGCTCATCGCATCGCCCGCCTTGCGCGTCCGCTTGGCGGCCTTCGATTGCTGCTGCTGCAGCTCCTCCTCGTCGCTGGAATCCTCCTCCATTCCGCGCTTGGCCTTGGGCTCCTTAGCCGCTCCTCCAGCTTCGCCCATCGATGCATCGGAATCGGAGTCCGAGTCGGACTCATCGTCGCCGCCGCCTCCTCCTCCTCCTCGTTGGCCGCGCAGAGCCTTGTCGCTGATGATCAGGCGTCCGTCGTCGGCCGTCTTGAAGCCGCCGTTGGGCAGCTGGGGCTTCGTCTTCAGGCTCTTGGCGGTGGCAGCCGCTTGAGCAGAGCCACTAGCTGAAAAATGGAGTTATTATATCTGTGGCATCCTAGAATTCCTTTTAAACTTACTTAAAACATTGCCAATAGACTTGAGATCGGCCAAATCGACAATCTCATCGGGATCCTCGCGTATGTAAGTGCTCTTCTTCTGCTTGGACTTCTTCTCCCGCTTGCCAGCTACTCCGCTTTCATCCTCGGCGTCCATATCCTCGGGCAGATCCGAGTCGGAGTCAGCCAGAATGTCATCGATGCTGTGAGGGGATTACAATGGTTAAAATCAATGGGTAATTCCCATGAATAGGTGGCTCTATTACGTATAGCTCTTCTGCTCCAGACCGCCAACTAGCTCCTCGTCGGAGCTATCCGCCTGGGCCTCCTCGCTCTGCTTCTTGCGCGTATCCCGGCGCATCTGCTTGCGGATCTTCTTGAGCCGCCGGTGGGTCACCTCGTCGTCGCCGGGCACGAAGCGGGCCAGCTCCTCGGTGCTGAAGCGCTTGCAGAGCTTCTTCAGGAAGTAGCCGATCTGGATGCGGCAGTAGCGCTTCGTGTCCTTGGTCATGGCGGACAGGGAGCGCATCTATAATACGGATCATTGATTAATCATTTGCTTAGGAGGAATAGGGAACTACCTACAATCGTTTCCAGGTGATTGGCCACCAGGGGTATGGGCATCACCTTGATGAAGGTGATCAGAAAGGCGACGGCTGCCTCCGATTGATTGCGCGACTTCTGGACGAGGAAGACGGAGACCTGCTGCAGGACGAACTCGAGCGTGGCCACTGTGAGATGCTGTCCCTGCTGCTGGAGCACCGCCCGAAAGGCGAGGATCGTGTTGGTCACCAGCGATTCGTCGCCAGTAAAGCCGGCCGTCAATATGTCCACAAAGTCATTGATCTTGCCCGCATCCTGGTACAGCTGGGTGATCGATTTGATTAGCTGCTCGGCCACCTGCTCCTTGCGCGTGGAGAACTCCTTGTAGCTGAGCACTGCCTCGGGAATGGCCTTCATCACCAGCTGATCGTTGTACGACAGGTTGCTGCGGCACTCCATCAGGGATTTCAGGCAGCTAAGGGATAATATTCAGGGTAGTAACTCACTGGAGGTATTTATCAGGGTTCGGAATTTAACACACATGTTAGAAACGTGTAAAATGGCATTTTACAGTGTGAGCAAAGTTTTTGACATATGTATGTGTCAAAAACAAAAGTGTTAAAATGTGAAAAATAATTGTTAGCACACACAACTCACTTGTGTTTTTTACACACTGTGTTTTTTACAAAAATGAAAATTACATTTTATGGACATTAACGAATCGAAGGGAAAGTGAAGATTTAATATTGGGCCAGGATATTTTAATTGTTATTTTTAACCGTTTCCAAGCATATATGAATTTTTTCAACTACAGAAAACCGTGAATTTTTCAATTCAACACATATTTCTGACGTTTTAATGTCAAAAACTCGTTGTGTAAAAAACACGACGTGTAAATAACACAAATAAACTGTGTGTGTGTTATTTATGTTTCTAACATATGTAAGCTACAATTTTTTAACTGTTAATAACACAAGTTTCTTACAGAGTGTGTTATTTTCCGAACCCTAGTATTTATACACTCAAAAACTCACTACAATCGCGAGGCCTGGCAGACATTGCAGCTGGTGGTGAAGGCTTCCAGCAGGATTTGCTGCAGGGCGATGCTGTTCTTGCGGGTGAACTTCTGGCAAGACGCCAGCTCCGAGGTCATCAGTTCCCGCAGGAGCCTACAAAATACCCAGAGTTAGTTTTATACTTTAAACAGCTAGTATACCACCCACTCGTAGGTCTTCCTCTGCTGCTTCTTCAGCTTCTGCTCATCCTTGGCCACCAACTTGGACTTGTCGTTCCGCAGAATGGGTGCCATGTACTTCTCGAAGTACGCCTCGATGCCCTTGCACTTCTGCACGCGCACAATGGCCGCATTGATGTCGAACAGGGCGTCGTACTCGAAACTGGCCACCGCACTGGCCGCCAGCTGTCCCTGGGCGTTCTCGAAGAGCTGCAGTTGCACATCAGCCGGCGCCCTTGAGATATACAAGCGGATGACGTCCAGCACGCGCTTCCGCTGATCCGCCTCGTAAGTTCCACTCGGTTTCTGGGTGTAGATATTAAACAGACGGGGCAAAAAGTTCTTGGCATACTGGCCAATCGCCTGATGGCACTCCGCACTCTGACTCTCGTCGAGCAGCTCCATCAGACCATCGTAAATGGGGGCCCTGAACTCGGGATTCTTCTCCAGGGCGGCACCCAAAGTGGGGGCCAGCTGGCGCAGGTACTCCGGATCCCTTGGGCGGCGACAGAAACCGGGAAAGAGGCCCCACAGCTGGCAGCAGAGCAGCTCGTAGATGTGCGACGATGACTTGTTCTTCGCTTCGCTGAACTCCTTCCACTTCTGCTGGCAGTCCATGGCCAGCGGCACGATCTTCTCCCTGAAGAACTGCAGACTGGCGCCGTGGGCTCCCTCGCGCAAAAGGGGCAGCAGCCAGGAACGCTCCAGCTGCATGCCGCCCTTGCCGTCGGCCAGTGGAATCGCGGTGAGGATGAGTTCGGGTCCCAGAGCCTTGATGGCGCTGATCAGCGTGTGCTCGATCTGCAGGCGATGGCCGCTCTGGCTGTCGTAGCGCTTGGCGATTGTGAGCAGCGAGGGAGTGAGTTCTTTCCTGAAGAAAAAAAGGATTTAGTTAGGTTTTGGTATCTAGTTTATATCAGGGTTCGGAAAATAACACACACTGTTCTCATCTCATTCCTTGAAAAAGCCCAAATTAAGTTTAAAATCTAAATTTCAAATAATAAATATAAATGTATCTAAATCGACACTTGAAAAAGCCCAAATTAAACTCAAAATCTAAATTTAAATAATAAAAATAAAAATGTAATTCAACACCTCAGACGATCTGAAGGCCTTAGCTGCTAGAGCTCTTAATTCTTAGTTAGCTCATAGTTTTAACTTTAAGTTTGCTTTATATAAATAAATAAATAAATAAACACTGTTAAACACTGAACACTGTTAAGTTCAAAAAAGGTTATTGACTTGTGTGTAAAAATTTGTATTCTACATATGTTAGAAACATAAATAACACACACACATGTCATTGGTGTTATTTACACGACGTGTTTTTTACTCAGCGTGTTTTTAACACAATGAGTTTTTTACATTTAAGTGTCAGAATTGTATGTTGAACGGAAAATTGCACGGTTTTCGAGAGTACAAGAAATGTAACTTTCATTTGTGTTAAAAACAGTCGTGTTCATAACACATTGTGTAAAAAGCACAAGTGCTAACAGTTATTTTTGACATTTTAACACTTTTCTATTTGACACACATGTCAACAATTTTGCTCACACTGTGGAATAAAATTCTTCATGTTTTTAACATGTGTGTTAATTTCCGAAACCTGGTTTATATAGATTATATAGATAGCCTTACCCGAATTGCCTGCCGCAGGCCTCAAAGACAATGGAGAAGATGAGGATCACATATTTGGAGATCTCGCCGAAGGGAGCGTTCAGGACCTTGTGCAGCGATCCGATTATCCTGGCCACACTGGGCCTGCTGCGCTGGGCCTCCTCCTCGGTGGCACAGGCACGCGCAACGCAGTCCTGCAGCAGCTCCTTGATGCAGTTCGAAACGCCCACCACCAGTTCCGTTCGCTCCGAGAGCCAGAGGTCCGTGGTGCAGATCTCTACGAGGCGGGGCAGCGCCTGCATGCACAGATCCAGCTGCAGGGTGGCCAGGTGCAGGTGGCCCTCTTTCAGGACAGTCACCCAGGCGAGCGTCTGCCGGACATCGCTGCGATCCGGCCGATACTCGTGGATGGCCGCCAGCAGCTTGGCGCACAGCGAGGCATTCAGATTCGGGCTGCGCGTGAGGAAGAGGGCGTGCAGCGCCTGGAAGCAGTTCGTGCGCACCAGCACATTGGCCGCCGTCATGATGGAGAGCAGGTGCTCGCACACGCTGCGTATGTCCTCCGTGCGGAAGCCAGCTAGAGTGTCCTTGAGCAGGGCCAATGTGTGGAGCACCGTCGTCTGGGCATTGGCCAGCACCTCCGGCTTGAACTGGGCCAGGCAGAACTTGGTCACCCGGCTGCTGGCAGGGTGGTTCTTCACCTTCGGCTGCTCCTTCTCCTCCTGATCCTCATCAGACTTAGCCAATGGCAACATGAAGCAGCTGCCGTGTATGATAGAGACCACCGCATGCTGGGCCGCCTTGCGGATCTTGGGCTTGGAGTGAATGCTGAAGGCCAGCAGGGCATCGAAGTACTGGAACGTGGAGCTGTACGTCCAGGTGGCGTAGTCCTGGGCACGCAGCAGCACGGACAGGCAGCCAATGACCTGTGGATAAAGAAAAAGAGGTTATAATAGCCATCCCTATGTTATTAATTAACTAGTTACATAGCGAATCACCGACTGGTTGGTGGCCTCCACGAACCGCTGGAGCAGCGCCTGCATGGTGGCCGCCGTCTGGGCGAAACGCTTCCTCAGCACCGCAGCCGGCACCGATTTAATGCCCATGGAGAGCAGCGCCACGCCGGCCACAATGTCCCGCTCCTCGCTGGCCGCCTCGATCTGCTCCATGAGCAGCAGGAAGTACTCCGTGGACGTCTCGCCGCCGCCGCTCTCGCGGATTATCTCGGTGAGGGCGCTCAAAATGGCCAGCATCTCCTTGTGCAGATCCGAGGAGGCCCGGAAGCCGGTGAGCAGCTTGCGGAAGCTCGTGTTGCTGCAGCTGCTGTAGTTGGAGGCGAAGGTCTGGAAGGTCTTGTAGGTGCCGCTGGGTGCGGTGCCCCCTGATTCCGACATGTCTTCTTCGTCGTCCAGCCGGAAGCTTCGCAGGCTGCCGGCCACTTCGTTGACCGTCGTGGTCTCCGCATTGAACGCCTGGCGCTGCTCGTGCTTGTGCACCGCCTCCAGGGTGAGGCCGGTGGGCGTGGCAGCGGCTGGAAGGGGAGCGAATCATTATCATGGCCACCTGCTTGTCTAGACTCTAGATTCTTACCCAAACTCAGGTTGGGCTGGAAGAAACGCGACTTGGCCTTCAGGCGGTGCTTCATCTGGTCGGGATTCGAGGTGGCCGACTGGCCCTTGCCCCACGTCTTCCCCTTCCCATGGCGCTTTAGCTTCGAACGGAATTTGCCCATGGTCAGTGCGAGTAAAGCGAGAAATGCTCGAAAGAAAGTGCCCGAAAACCCAAAACACGCAAATCGCAACACGTGCGAAGAGTACCCGCTTTACCGATAAAACGTGCAATCGAATAATCAGTAGCCAAGTCATCCACCAGTTAGCCAAGACAGCAACCAGTAATCGATTTCAATAGTTATCGCCAAATGGTGAATTTCGAGTGCCCTAGCCAAGTCACCCACCGATTACCCAATAAATCCACCACTTAGCATAGACACCAACCAACTAGCCGACACATCAACCCGATACATATGTTATCGGTATCATACCGGCCAGGTCTGGCATCCCTGCGCAACAAGTTGAAGAATAGAAGAAGACAAATAGAAACAGCGTCCGCAAATAGTGCGCAAAATAGTGTTTTTTTGTTAACGTGCAACAGCGACATTGTCAACCCAGTGGAGCGGTGAATGCAAGTGATAGTGCGACCGAAAAAACAATGCCAAACACTTGACCACGCAGCAAAAACAATTGAGCAAGGCACACACCACACGCACACATGTGCAGGCACCCACTCGTGTAAGAGAGAGCGAGAGCGCGAGTGTGTGAGTGAGTGAGAGGCAAGAACTGTAACTGTAATATAATTGATAAAACAAAAAACGTCAGGAGCAGGAATCCAGTGTGCGAGAGGGAGAGAGAGAGAACGAGTGAGCAGAGGGACAGGGAGACGGCGAAAGAGAGAGCAGAAAAGGAGGAGGAATTGTTGTTGCTAAAAATAGCAACAAATAGACAGGCGAATAAGAAGCAGAGCAAGAAGAAGAAGACGAAGCGTTGACGCAGGCAAAAAGCCAAAGCCTTTTGGCCACTTGGACTCCCAATTTGTCCCGTTAGCCAAGCCAACAACTAAACATCGATAATAACAATAACAACAACTACAACATCAACAAAGACGTCGGACCAAAACTATGCTTTTGAAATTCACAAAAACCAGTGGCGCTGGACCCTCGGCCGTACCGCTGCTGCCCCCCAACCCCTCGCCGGGCTCCAGTTCGTCGCTGCAGGCAACAACAACAACGTACGCGGCCCGCGGAACAGGTTTGTACCCACTCTCTTTTACCCCCTTTCCCTTCCCCCTTTTTCCCCCTTAAAGCCTCTCTTTGCTCTCATTTGTTTTGATTTTTATTTTACCTTTAAGTACGCCAAATGACAATACACCTTGCCCACTTTGTCATTCGAATTTCGATTACTACCTAAAACTATGGTTTATCGACTTTGAATATTTACACTTTTGCATCTCAAGAAATCATTACATTTATGGATTTAAGGAATAATTATAAGATATATTTTACAGATTCATAAAACAAGAAACTTTTGGTAAATAAGTATGGGAAACCCAGAATTTATTATAGATAGTAGGCCTTAGTAGGGACCAGTAAAGAAATTGTTTTTGAATTTAGAATTACAATCAACCACTTCAGTAAACATATATTTCTTCTTATTTTCTCCTAACTTTCTAAATAACTCTTTCGATTAACCCTGGAATTTTGATACGCATTTCTTTTAGTTCTTTTCAAACTTGTTTTTGTTTACTTGCAAAAAATGGATAGTGAACCTAAGTACATACGAATGTACATACATAAAATAAGAGGTTCGCTATAAGAAGTGAATATTAAAAATTAAAATAACTTAAAAATGGGAGGTCTGGTATAGCTGATAAAAAGCACTTTCATAATCTGTTTTATTGACCATTTTGCGGTAATTTACAGACGCTTGAGATGGTTAATTTTAAATTTTGTCTTCGTGTTTCTGCCTTTCTTACTTTATGTGTGCTTTTGCCGTAAATAGATGGCAAACAAAAATAGACCGCCCCAAAAGGTGGACACATACACATATTTTGGGTAAAAATATTGCCCCCTAGAAATATTTCTTGATTGATTTCCACCCTTTGCCGCCCACTCCGCCCGTCGCCCACTCTCGATAATTCTGCTATCGATATCAGCAAAAGTTGACAAAAACAAAAACAAAACAAGAAAAACACTATTTGGCCCCCACAAACTTTGCGGCATTGAAAGCCACGCACGTGTACCAACACACACGCGCAATTATGTTTACACGCACACGCACAATTATGTATGTATGTTTACATGGGCGAGTACAGGGATCCCCCCGTAAATGTAATCTTCTTGCGGAAATGCTTTGAAAACTAAATTCGGAGATATGCTAAACTTTCGAACTTTAATTTAGTTCTTCAGTTAGCTGAAAAATGCTTTTTTCACCTTAATGACTCTAAAATTCTCAATAAGTTCTAGCTAAATGAAAACATATAATATTTACAAAATTTCTTTAAAACTTTATAATATTTACAGGGAATATAAAATAAAATATTTGTATATTTTCATTTTGATAAATCCAAAGCTTTACTGCTCCCTGCTTAGAAGACTATAATTTGCTCTTTGGTACACCTTTAATTTCCAAGTCGCCTTATAAACGTTTTTGTTGAAAAAACGGCATTCCTTAAGCTGAAGTTCCTAGGCAACACCACGCGAATCCTTTTCAAGTTTTTCCCTCAGCTGTTCGCTGTTTGCTCGGTATTCCATTTCCCCACATCCACATCCACACCCACCCCCGCCCACTTTTCCGGCTTTCCAACACGCTGTCTCATTTCATTCCGCTCTCTTGAGCCATTTGTTTGCTCCGCTTAATGCTCATATAATCAAATTGAATTGAATTGAATTGGATGTTTTTCCAACAAGGTCGCGGCTCCTTGGCAACCTGCTGGAAAACTCACTTAATGTAGTTTCCTTTTGCGAGGGTGTGTCTGCTGTGGAAGGGGCGGCGGGAAAACCCACACGAAAGGGAAATGGAGACAATAGAAAATAGCAGAAGAAAATTAACAAAGTGTTGCACTTGTTGAGCAGCGAAGTACACACAAGTACAGTGGTTAGTGGCTACAAGCACTAAAAAAAGTTGTATTTCTAAACGTTTAAAATAACCCTTTTATTAAATTGTCTTGAAAATACCGATAAAAAAAGGAATTTAAAAAAGAAAGAAAAATAAAAATAAAGAAAAATCCAAGTAGGTTTGTTCAAAATACAAGAAATTTTTTTTTTTATTTTTAAATATTTTTCCATAAAAAAACGTTCCATTTTATACTCGCAAAAAATCAATAAATAGTTTAAAAAATACCTTTAAAAAACTGGCACTCCTACAATACCGAAAGGACTATGATTCTGCCTAGCGACTGACTACTGTATGTGCGTATCCCAGCTGTCCATGATGCACTCGGTTTATTTTTGTCCAGCTGGGAAGCCCTAGGATGCTGATGCCTGTAAATTAAGTGGACTTTGCTCCTCCTTCGAGATACAATATACAATATACATTTCACATTTCCCCGCTGTTTGTCCGTTTGTCTGTCCGTTCTGTCGTTTAATTGCATCTCGAAAGTCTCGTGACTTGACTTAGTCAGCAATTGTTTATTGGTTAATTTAATACAATTTTCTGCTCTCTAGATTAGTTAATGATTGTCGTCGCTGCTGCGCGAGTCTGTTGTTGTTTTGTTAGTCGTCTGGCTTTGGGTTGTTTTTTTTTGTTTTGTTTTGAATTTGTTTATTTTTTCATTTTAGTATGCAAAGCTCGGCGGCAGCGACAACGACTTGAATAATTCCAACTTAGTTAATCAATTTAATTATGTATGAAAATTGTTTCATTTGTATTTTGTTTTTGTGGTTGTTGTTTGTGTAGTTTTTGTTGTTGTTGATGCGACACTATTATAGTTTGCTCGCATTCCGCTTTGCCCACGAAATTCGTTGTTTGTCTGGCTTTAAATCGACAAAATAAAATACCTAATGTCGTCTCACATAAGCTCTTTTTCAGCTCTTTTTCCCCCCAATTTTCTATATATTTTTTTAAACCTATTTTGTTGTTTTCTTTTTTTTTTACCCAAATTTTCTCCATTTTCCCATTTTACTAGTTCCTCTCTTTGGCTTTCACCCAAAAATTTTCAATGGCAATCACTTCTGAAGTTGATTTCTTGTCTGCTAGTTTACTTTTTTGTTTTGATGTCCGATACCTAAAAAGTTCAAGGGTTTTTCTATTTACTCAGTTGTTTGCAACTTATTAACTAACTTAATTTATCTGCCAATAGGAAATTTAGAAATTCAGGGAGAGTGCTTGGTAAATATGTTATCGTTTTTGATATTTAAGAGTATATAATATTTTCTACAGATATTTAAATATAAATTTATTTGTATCCATAATACCTTTTTTTATTCAAATGTTTCCAAGTTGATCTTTTATTTTTTATTTATTGAAAATAAGCTTTAATAACAGTAGCTTAAAGGGTACCTGTTAGTCGAAGAACTTTAAGATTTACTGAATAGTCTAGCTAATATACTAAATATTTATTCATTAGTATCCCTAATACCTTTTCCTTTAAAAAATGTTCCCAAGATGTTCTACTATTTTTTAAATTATGGAAAATAAACTACAGCTACTGTTATTAAAGGGTAGCTGTTAGTCGATGATCTTTTACATTTTTTGACCACTTTTTTGCGAGCCCACCTCAATTATTTTGTTATTGCGACGCCAGCAGACACGCACATATACGTACAAATGTTAGAATGTGGATATTTGATTGGGAGGGGAGATATTTGATATATATATATGTATATTTGGGTGGGAGCAGGTGGAGCAAGTTCATCGCTGTCCCGATGTCGATGCATCATTCAAATAAACTTTTCGTTCAAAACAAAATGATTAAATTTGTTGATATTTTTTGTCGTCTTCTTTCGAGCATCACGTTTTTGTTGATTGATATTATTACCGAAATGGTTTGCTGAGTAAGCTAAGCAGGAAATAAAAAGCCAAATTTAATTTGTAGAACAGCAATCGTCTTTTAGAATGAACCCATTTCTTCAGAGAGAATTTTTATTTAAAAAAAATAAGAAAACCAAATGTATCAAAAAATGGTAAAATACGAAATTAAGGAATGCAAAATATGTGCGTAATTTATCTTTTTATGATTTGAAATCTCACCAACCTTTTTTCTTTTTCTCCACCTGAATTTCTTAGGCTTGTTTTTATAATTCCCCTTAAAGACAGAAAAAAAAAACAAACCTTA